GCACACTTGTGCTATTCAACAGGATGGTCACAGACCCGCAGCAGCCTCTCTGACACTCACACACTGGCAGGCTGTCTCAGGAGCTTGTGCGCTTTCCTGGTGTGGCATTTCACCTGTTGGGGCTTTTGTAGGGCAAGGGAAGCACTTGTGTTATTAGGCTGAGGCTGGAAAAGCATGAGAGCTGCTCCTGTTTTCTAACAGAAACTGAAATGTCATCTTTCTGCTCCAATAAGCATTAAAAACTGATACTAAAAAACATCACAAGCTTTTCTGCGCCAAAAAAAATTGCAAAACTAACTTTATCCGGCTTCTACCATGCTATTCCAATGTGTACAGTGTATCAAATATCAAGCATAGATCTGCAAACGATCCTCGCAGTATGTGTTCGATCTAACAAACTATAATTGGACGGAGCTATGAAAGGGTACATGGGCATCACGGGTGCCTGGAGTTAAAGCTGTTACAGAGGTTATGAAACGGACCTGCAGCTAGTCCTGGCAATCGAATGAGTGTGTTTGCATTAGCAGCCCTGTACGGCTGCTTAATCTGCAAACCTTTACCAAGCAGAAGATAGCTGGATAAAAAGAAGAGTGTATTTGATCTTTTCAGGGATGATCTGAAGGAGAAAAATTAGGATGTTTAAAAAAATTAAACAACCCCTGGAATGCCTAGCGTACTTTAACTAATGAAAGACACTCAGCTGCTTAGAGTAACTAAAACAAAAAGGTAGAAACAAATCGGTAGAATTTTCATTCCTTACTAATAACAAGATTTTGCTTTTGACCAATAATGATCTAAAGCTTAAAGGTTACTACACACAAATAGATTCATCATAAGACTGGTCGTTATCACAGAGAGTATAATTATGGTTATTAAATCCACTGCACAGAGCAAAGGGTGTAATAGGCGAACAAGACAAACACAGGATCTCAAAAGTGTTATTGAAGTTCGTCCCCAACACTGAATCGAGAGCTGAAGTTTCTGGCCTTGACTGGGTGTTCTAATCACAGCACTCTAGACACAGTTTCTCTTCATGCCTGTAGTCTGTTAGAGTTCTTGAATGAAATTTTGACATATATAACAGAGTTCTTTCTCAGATAAATGTTAAATTTGTATTCATGCATTTGCCATTAAAACATTTGTTAGATATTGGTCTATTTATGAGATAAATGGCAAATTTTCTAGAAAGTTGCAGATATGCAAATATGCAAGATAACATGTTACTAGGATATATGTTTCTGTAAAGGTTTGTCAGAAGGAAGCTAATACTGCTTTATTTTCACTGTAAACATGACCCAAACCATTTCATTTTAGCTTTACGAGCTTCTAACTAAAATTTTCTTACTGGATCACATTTCTAAATGTTGTCCTTCATGTCTTTACCTGGCTTATATGCAGGAAGAAAATGGTCGTCTGTTTCCTTCCCTCTCCTTCAGTTTTACTGTTAAGACCTATTATTTCAGTAATTCACACCAGAATACCATTCTTTGTTCAAAAGAAAAAAAAAAGTATGTTTTGTCCTGTAGATGGGTGTTTTATTTTAGAAATATAAGAACATTATTGTTTAGAAAATTTTCTGTAGATCAAATCAACCCTTACTGAAAGGTATAAGGAAAATATTGATGCTTCTGTATATGTTGCAGTCAGTCATTCTCGTACAGAAATAAAGAATGGATGCTGCTATGGACAAATTATTGCATCTGAGAATCATTTAAAAAAACCAAATTCCAATCCCAAAAAAGTCACTTGCAGAGAAGTTTATCAGGGATTCCCTACTTTAGTGCATCAAATTTTAGACTACTGATTAGGCAAGAGCTAAGATAGCAGGTTTAAATACTGTAGGAAGAAGAGCCTGTGTGTGGTTTTTCTCCTGATCGTAAAAATTCTCACAAACATTACTTTTTTTACATACATTGCCTTTATGTATTTACAGATAAGACACCAAAAAGGCGATGAATTTGAAGCCTGTATTTTATGTTACATCTCATTTACTTAATTCTGTATGAATTTTATTCAGTCTAAAAGCATGTTTATGGCTATATACAATCACTTATTTAATAATGAGACAGCATAGTTGTAATTTTTGTGACCATAGTGAAGAGGTGCACTACTCTTCACATTAAAACCATCATGCATTTCCGTGTTTTTGTTTTGTTTTTAACTGGAGCATATACAGCACTTCCTCACACTATATGCACAGTTACCTTGTTTTAGGGGGATCTGATACGCAACTTACCTTGGGAGTATTTTAACACTAGCAGGCTCAGCAAGTAGTCGATGCAGCTTTTCTTCATGATAAGAGTAGCTGTGGGAAGGCTGAAGAGTATAAAGAGGAAAATGAAAAAACTATCTGCACTTCAAAGATTCCCTTCAGATGAAGCAGATAGAAAATCCACATAGATTATTGCAGAAGCTGTAGGTGAAATTAAAAGTTGCCATCTCCAATATATGCATTTGCCTGAAGTATTCTTTATGTTTACATATTCTAGGGCAGACGCAGCTGAAAAGATATATATTGCTTTTTTTCTTTAGTCTGAAAGTGTTGGGACTTTAAACGTGGGGTCTGTAAATACTGAGATCACATTTACAGTCCAAAGTATTCTGTGTCTAGCATGTAACAATCTTGATTATATTCCGGTCAGGATGTGGGAAAGATGCTGTTAGAAACAAAACAATCAATTCACTTAAACAGTCCCACAAACATGCTTTATGGCATCTGCCTCCTACTCATTTTAAGTGAGGTTTTATAGTGACACATTGGTGAAGATTAGTACACAACTGCAGGCAGATGCCCATGACTGATTCAATTGTTTGCACTGACACTCACAATTGCTGTAATTGCAACTGAAGTGATACAAGCCATGGCAAAAAAACAGACAAAGTGAAACCAACATTGTTCCTCAGAGATTTTATTAGCTGAAGCCCAGAAATGCACAATCCGCTGTTTTTTCTTGGTATGAATTCACCACAGCATTGCCATTTGCATGTCTGCAGATACTGTCCTCATTGATTTAACATAAGATTCAAAAGGCCTCTTTAAAACCAAAACTTGAGCAGTAAAGGCAATACATTCCAGCCTCACTTGTTTATAAAAATGTCTTTTTGGAAAACCTGATTAAAAGACAGAGCAGCAAATCATTTGTAGAAAATCAGTAAGAACTTCATGTGATCCTAAGTAAAGAACATTTCTAAGCTCTAGCTTTCCTGTGTGCTGCAAGCACAACCACCATTGTTCCTTTCCTCTTTTCCTCCTGTAACAGCTTAACACCATTAATGTTCAAAGCTGGAAGAGGAACGACCATCTTCTACAGGCTCTGGAGAAAGAGAAAACGGATGTTTAGAACTAGGCAGTATACAAAACCGCCCTGAGAAGAGATTACCTTGTAGCCTGCCGAGCAAGTTCTCATGCAGTACTGAAGACTTCCTTCAGACTGCCTACACTGCTGGTGGCTCAGTCCAAAGGAATTAAGAGATGATCCATGTAGGAGTTGAGGATTTAACACATCCACTCCCTACTTTCAAAAGAAAAGTGACTTTTGCAGACACATTTAACTGAAAAGGGGAATCCCTTTGCAACATAACCCACATTCTGAAGGTATTTTTAGCGTCTTCATCCTGGACACTGTAGAACTTCCATTTAAACGCTCGAGGCTGTGATATTATCTAATCCTTCTATAGCAGCTATAACCAAAGAAAACCCCACAATTTTACAGGAAAGCAAAAAATGCCTAATTCTGTCCTGTGTTCATTTAGACCAGTACGCAGTGATGAAAAAATGCTATTGTTCCAGTTGCACTTCCCCACTTATATACATATTAATTCACTCTCATTGATCAAATGGGACACACAAGAGGCAAGGTAGCCATGGATGCAGCAAAACCTTTACCTAAATTTTGTGTTGATGTTATTAAATGAAGACCATCTCCTCCCAATATTTAAACTGGGATGAGATTTGCCAATATATTGGAGAAGAAATATCTAAATCAACAATGTATTGCATCAGAAAGGAGTTCTGAGAAATGAAAGGCAAGTGTTTTAAATGTCTCCAGTTACAGCACAGCACTGGAGACGGTCAAACGCCCAGACAAGTTTCCTATAGAGAGGCTTGTCAGATCTGATGCTTTGAACGTGGGGCTTACACCCGCCTCGCATTCACACAGCGAGGGAAACACACCTTGTACGTCAGCAGCACAAAAGAGATTCATGCTGGGAGTCCGCGTCAGAGACAACCAGGCAGCTACATCTGAAGTCTGAGTAAGAGAGAGGCCACAGCACTGCTCTGTCCTGTGCCCAGAGGGGGAGCAACCCCTTGTCAGCGCTCTCTGCTGAAAGGGAGCCTTCGGCAGTCTGTGTGCATGGTACAACGAACTCCTGTCTAACAATCTGCCCTGTGTTTCCCATGCAGGTTGATGACATTACACTAGAAGATGGGGGGGGGGGTACGGTGCTCCATTAAAAGCTAGAGGGAGAGCACCTGTGGAAATGCTGTAGGTACCACAGCAGCACCTCCTGAGCTGTGCGGCTGAACGGCTGCAATTGCCTCGCAGCTCTACTGCGGAGGGGCCCGCTCCTGCGCGGTGGGCACAGCACCCTGAAAACCAGGCCTGGCAAAGTGCCCGTAAAAGGCATTTCCTCTCTAATGCAGGCAAGACGGGAGCAATGTATTGCAACGGGCCAAGGGAACAAGACATCGCTGCCCTCAATGGCTTTATTTTGGTAGTGTTTAGATTGCCAACCAAGTTCAGAACCAGACTGTGGAATGCACCATAAAAAAAGCACTTCCAGGCTCAGGGAGAAAAAGGAAGAAACATTAGCCCCACTCTACAAAGAAGGATTAAAGTATTCAGAGTTGTATCAGAAACTAAGGCAGGGACAGCAGCTGAACCCAGATGCCCTAGTGTGAACTAGGGCTTAAATACAAAATCCCCCTTCATACGTGTGTATGCTGATCTATACATTTCAGAAATCTTGCATTTGAATACGAGATCTTACCTTCTTCACTACTTTTGTCTAAAGAAGTCAAGAACTTCCTTATGCCCTGTAGCCTCTGCCTGTAAGTAGAAACATGAATAAATCCTGCCATCCTGTGCACCAGGACATGCAAATACTTACTTGTGGGAAGTTAAGACTGTATTACCACAAAATAATTAAAATCCAATTTAAATTTTAATTCCTCTGACATAGATGAGAAAATTTTGGCTCCAACAATTTATTACTTCAGAACAGCACCAGGCTTGAGTTTGTAACAAACTCTAATCCGGTTTATAGTCCCCAAAGCAGCATTTACTTTTCCCAAACCTATATTATCCAACAGCATGCGTTATTACTCACACAGCTAGCACGACATATGGAGTACAACCACATGCACACTTACTACTTGTAGGGGATTCCTGCCATCGTAACCAGTTTGCTCCATGTCTGCACCAGCTAGGTACCAGGCATACAGCCCATCCACATCGCCTTCAGCTGTAAGGCTGGAAAAAGAATAATTAATATTGGTTCTAAATCTTTCGGTCCAGTTCGGTGTGCTCCTGGGTCCTGTCAATTAGCTCAGCAGGCAAATGCTGAACCAGAATGGGCTCAACATGGCTGCCAGGGTAGAGAGGTAAGTAAATGAACACTATTACAACAGCTTTTAATAGCTGAGCAAGCAACACAGCTTGATGAATCAGTTCCTTAAATTAATAGGGCTGTGCTATAAGTACTTATAACAGGCTAGTTTCACATAGTGGGTGTGACTATGACCAAAGGGGAAAAAAAGTCATGCAGTTTCATATTTCACAACACAATATTTATCTCATGAAATGAGTTGGGGAGAGGGCAATGGCTAAATCAAGATGCAGCTGAGTAAGAGCACTGCAGATGTGCTAGCAATCAGCGCCCCTTACTTAAAACCACTAAGAAACCCCCTTCACAAGTTTGCATAACTATGTTTGCTGTCAGAAGTTATGACAGCATAGTTACGTGATATCATTTGGACAGTAACACAGCTACATTTTTTTTGAGCTTTATAAGATAATTTATAAGGTTTAAATGGGCAGCAAGCAAAAAAAAAAGTTTTTTAAAGATGACTTCTATCTGCCATGTATAACAAGGAACAGAAAGGATTAAAATGAATCATATACAAATAAGCGAATGAAAGTTTTCAGAGGAACGTACACCAGCTTGTTTTCTCCGCACATCTGCTGCTAGTCTCCTCCACAATACTTAAGGTTCATTTTAAACTTTTGTTTTGGTAGTAGAAGGGCTAACAGCCTGTACATATGCAAAAGCATGACCATCCATACCAAGCCTGTGGACAGGCTGAACTGACAGCATGGCTGGGAGGACTACCTTCAGTTTTCTCAAGGTTCTAACATCTGCCAGGCTTCAGACCTGAGCTTGCTGTGCGCTCGCAGATTGTTTCAGCAGAGCCACACCGATTATCATCAAGTGAGGCTGAATCTCATTAATAACGAGAGAACCCTCCTCAGACTTATTAAGTTCAGAGTTTGCTGCCTTAAACAGTGCTCGCTGTGGGGGAAGAGCATACTGCTGGCAGCAGGGATGGAGGACGGTGATGGGCTCCTGGGTGTGACAACAAAGCCAGGCAGACCTGGTGGGAGCGCAGAGAAGGCTGGAAGATGCAACAGGGGAATGGAAGTGTCTAATTGCAGAAGTCTGAGGAGAAAGTCAAAGAGAGGCTTTTGCTTGCAGCAGTCCCAGAGATTGGGCAGGAAAAGGGAAAGCAAATGGTCTCTGTCTATATTCCTCCATGCAACCCTACCAACCCTGCGGCAGGGCAGAAGACCTACAGCTGGGGCCTTTGGGGACAGGGAAGTGGCAGTGGGGTGCTATGAGGTTTAACAGAGCTTCAGTCTGACATCACAAGGAAAAGGATCAATAAATCATTAATGAAAACTGCCATCACAAAAAAAGGCCCCTCAGAAGCAATAAGGAAACAGAGGAAGGCAAAGGAGATCTAACAGGAAGCTCGGTGGGAAGTCCTCAAGGAAACTGCAGGAAAAAGTAAGCATTAATAAAGAAAAAGTGTAAGCATTAGAAAAACAGAGAAGAAATTGCTTAGCAGCCACTTCAGGAACACAAGAATTATCGTTATTTACAAAGACCAGTCTCTTGCCGTTGACGCGGAAAGGTCCCAGAATTACGGAAGGAACAACGAACCAAACAAGAAGCCTATCGAGCAAGCGAGAGTTACAAGCATCTCCAACACTGGACAGGAAAGCACTGTATTTGCCAAACAGGATCTCATCGTCCAGCCACATGCAAAGCGGAAACCCAACCTACATACCCAGGGCAATTCAGCTAGCATCACTGTAAGCAACAAACAAGGACTACTGCACTTACTTGAAAATTAACTACCTGTTCAGAAAGAGCAATTTAGCCCACATTGCCAGAGGTCAAAACTGTGAAGTGGTCTCCTTCCGTGACATTAGAGCAATCCAAACACACAGAAGTATCTTCAATTTTGCAGCAGCCATTTACTGATCAAGTGAGAAAGGTATTCTCTGGGGACTGTGACCCAGAGAACAAAGTGATGTAGCTTGCGAGAAAATTTAGATACCACTCTAAACAGAAGACACCTACTGTCCACTAAATTGATTATTTAGTGGACACCACAAAACATTTTCTCCAATTCCAGATCTCTGTAGTCAAGCCAAGCACATCTGTATTTCCTTTACACACTGTAAGTGTAGTTCATATAGTCAAATATATACATAGGACTTCTCAAAATACACTATAGGGACCTTTACTCTGTATTTTTCTCAAAGATAGTTAGGGCAGCAATTCCAATGACAAATACATCCTCTAAGCAGCAAGTCCATCATTTTCATATCACAAAATAGAACAGAAATAGCTGTAATATACACTTATCAGGATGTTTAAAACCTGCTTTGTTGCCAAAGAACTACTTACTATGTTTTACTAAACTCTGATCAATACCTTTTACAGCAGATAATCTCAGATATGCTGCCTATAAGTGACTCTTGCATTTAGAAAAAAATATTATGTACCCATTTCACAGGTTCAACATGGCTAACATAGCCATGATGATGACAGAGCTAAGATTACAAGGACAGTGATAATGCAATAATGCACTCTGATTTTGTGCTTCCTGTCACACTAGCATCAAGCAAACTCTATTACAGGAGCTGCTGTTTACTGCTCTGTTACTGTCAAGGCACATCAAAACAGGAGTAAAGCTGCTAAGGTTTCTGAGTGTTTAGAAGGACAAGGGTAATGCAGTTCTGGATCTGGGAAGGAATGAGTATAATGAGTATAGTTAAATGACATCTTGAGGTTTCCTCCTGCCTCCTCAGGTACTAGGATTTCATCTTTCCTGGGGACACAAAGCTCTGTTTTTTTCAGCAATTCTCCTTTTCCAGTGTCTATATAAAGCAATCAGGAAATAATTTCTTATTTTTAGGTGTATCATCGCCCTGACAGGAGAGGATTTTTTTTTTTCTTTAAATGAAAATCCTCAAAAAGCAAGTTACAAGTCCAGCAGAAGGGATGGGCTGTTCTATCCTGAACACATTTGGGAGTGCTGCTCTTAGCCAGTGTCTCCACTTCACTTTCGGTTGAGACAAACACATTTCTTTCACCGATAGTAGGCATTAGAAACTTGGTCCCAATTCCCGCAGAGGCATCTGTATCCCTCCTCTCCCAGCCTTACCGCCCAAGTTTATGTTAAATTGAAGAGGCATCTTATTCTGAAAGCTGACGATTTTGAAAGGCTGCATCCTTATATATTATATCATATCATTTTATGAGATCTAAAAATATGAAAGAGCTGGTTTGGCTTTATGCCCCTATTTAATTTTGTGAAGTACAGACTTGAACAGAGTATCTCTATTACATACAGGCTTTTTTCCTTTAAAAAACAAAGTAACTGTTTACCAACTCCAGAACTTGACAACCCTTCACAATAAGTCTGACTGTCCCAATTTATCTAGTCATGGTTCAGTTCTGCAGACAGATAACAATACTACTGCAATATGAGAAGAGATTCTGACATTTTTAACAGATTAGTAACATTGAGACCTCTTTCTCATTTCAGAACAAAGCCATGAACTAGATACCAAACATCAACAAAGTGATTCTAAAAATCAGACTAACACCTTTCACTTAAAAAAAGAAACCAGCAAGTGAAACCATGAAAGAGTTAGTAATTAGATCACATTGGCTGCACCTATGCGCATCTCCACTTCCTACACAAGAGTTCCCACTGATACTGTCTGACTCTCAGTCCTGGCTGGTACTCCTTTCCCTCTGAAACATCACCAATGCCAAAGGAGCATGATCTCAAAAATCTTCCAACTCAACTATTCTATTCTATTCTAGAATCATGAGTCTAAACAGAAGGAAGCTGAGGAGACAGTGTTAGAACAAAAAAATCACTGTTGATAGTCTTTTATGAAAGCCAGTTTGTTTGAGGATAGCTAAGTAGCAAGGAGGGAAATGTGATTATAGCTTCTAATTCAGAGAGAACTGCATAGGAGAAGAAAGCTAAGTTAGGTAAGTGCAGGAACCCAGAGCTTATCAGAAAGCAAGCGGCTTTGTCCTTCTAAACCCCAAGAACTTGATGTACTGCCTTGGTGACAAATTCAGACTGGTACAAATTGCAGCTTAAGGCACATTACAAGATAGAAGAGATGTAGGAAAATAGTTCCAATTAGACAGAGGGAAGATGTTATAAACAGCTTGTTCTATAAGCTTGACCATGTGAACATGTTGACTGCCACGAAGGTGCAAGTGCCTGCAAAGAGAAGGCTTAAAATGAGGAGGTAAGAGGTAGGGCAAAGAAGTGAGCCCAAGTATACTGGAAAAATGAATGTATCAAGTCATCGGAGGATACTCCAGAAAAAGTATCTGAGATATTCTGGCAGGAGGACAAATACCAGTACCTCAGATTTAATAACTTTTAGGCATCTGAGTCTGTGGAAAAAGTCCACTTTGGTGCAAAAGACTATGCCAGGCTCTCTAAAACTGCAAGAGGAAAGAAAGTCCTTCAGCTTTGCAGGAGCTCTGTATGGAAGAGCCACCATTCACAGACACTTCAGCACGTGGAAGCCTGACCGCTGCCTCAGGCTGGCTGTGCTCCTGGGACATGCTGTGCAGTGATGTCTGCCAGTGGGCATGCCTCTGGCCAGGGCCGCTACTCCAGCTGCCGGCCAGGAGAGCCATGGCCCTGGCTCCTGACCTGCACCGAGGTGGGAGAGCCTCTTCCCGTCACCCCGAGCACACCCTTCCGCGACGAGTCCGTGTTCAGCCTCTGCACACACGCGCACTCCTGCCCTCCGTTTGGAAGATTTACATTGTTTTTATGATAAAGTTATTACCATCAATGCAAGTTCAAAGTATCTTAAATGTTTATTATCAAAGTACCAGCTTTGAACAACAGGAGGTTGTGCAATACAGATGCAGGGTGTATGATCCTCCTTAAAATGCTTTAACAAACTGCATCAGAAACACTTTTTTGTTTAGAGGGCCCTTGTTCTCTTCCTTTTTTCTTTTTTCTTTTTTTTTTTTTTGACATCCTGTTCCCAGGTCAGCTAGCCAAACTGGTTCTGCACGCACCACCAGGGCTAAGTAAGGGGACAATTTGTTTACAGAGGAACGCCATTCTCCTCACCTTCTTGGCAGATGGAAACTATGAAAACCAAGGGTTTAGTTCTGCCCTATCACTTGCAGTGGCCTGGGAAGCACATATTTTAACTTCATGGTAAAAGTCATATTGCCCAGTCTTCTCTGAGAGTGTTACGACAACGGAAACACTCCAGCTAGTATTTCTTGATTCCAGAATTACTCAAAGGACAGAGTCCAGTCTCTACACAGAACACACATAAGCTTTACCTTGACCTTATAGTTTTTTAGACAATATACAGCACTGGCTGGTTCCTACAACTCTCACGTTCTGGTTCCTGCCAAGTCATGATACAAAGGCTGGTACTCAGGGGTTTTTGCTTGTTTTTGAGAAGGAGAAGAAGAAATTAAGTAGAAACTATAAGTAATTTTAGGAAATACATGAAACTTTCTTACAATTTTCAGAGTAATTTGTAATTCAGGACCAGTACTGGAAAAAATAAAATCAAGCATCAATTTCTTTTCATAATATATATTCATATCATTAAAACACCTTATATATTAAAAGCAATTGTATGGAAAAACAGTTTTAACAGAGGATTATATCCTCTTAAAATTAAATATAGATATGGTGAGCAGTTGATAAAAAGTTTTGGGGTTAAACCTATTTGTTTGATTTTGTTATTTTTAAGAATGATGTTAAAAGCTAGTTAGAGTAGAAGCTACTCTCATATAAGTGAAAAGTGGATTTTAAGAAAATAAAAATAATACAGTCTGTGCAACTTTATTCTCAAATAGAGATGCTATTAAATCACACCTTGCACAGCTTCCTCCTCACCCTTTCTCAGTGAAAGTGCTTGAAAAAAACAGGGCATATTTGCTTCCAGTTCACTTATCCCCACAATACTCCCTACTTTGGAGCTCTCTTGAATTATTGGTGCTCTGAGGCAGAGTTGATTCTTAATTTCATCATTTCACTTGTTTCCTCATTATTAGTCTAGCTCAGAAAAAGTTGCGTGATGTGCCAGGGACACAACTGTTTCTTGGAAGTTGTCTACACTGTTCTCCATTCTGAGGGTCTCTTCTGAAAACCCATTCCCCTCCGTCCCAATTTCAGGGCCACCTCACCTTTTATCACGTTTACCTGCAGAGTAATGTTCCAATGTTCTCCAAGTCATGGCTTGCGAGGTGCGCTCCCGTTTCTCGTAACAAATTAATCACTTCTATGTGCCTTTATGAAAGGAATAGAAAAAACAGAGAAAGTATCTTGACTGGTAGGGTTTTTTTGGTAAATCCAACATTACTCATATACACAGTCAGTAAAAGTTCTTATATGAAATTCGCCACCATCACAGCACCAATGAATCTTCTTCAAGGTGACAGATGTAGTAAACAGATCTGCCCTCCCTATCAAAAAATCATTCACATACTAAGCTCATGGAAGTGTTAAGTTCAGCTCTGAAAATGAGATGCATCCCTTTCTCTTCAAAGAATTTTTATTTTCTTTACCTTAGCGCTAGCTTAATTTAACACTTCAAATATTAGTGATTGAAATACACGCAAATAGTGAGGACAGTTATTACTTAGCATCATTCCTTTATTTTACAGAATACAATGCCCATATATACTGGTCTTAAATAAAACATGTCTTGCAGATAAGCAATGAATCTTTAGGTTAATGTAGAGGCTAATCAGGATTTTAGGGCTTCAAAATTGTGGTAAGTATTTTTACGAACCTCCCACAAAAGCACAAATTTTCCTAACCCCCTCCTCCCAGTACCTTTATTATTTATTTCTGCCTAGAGTCTTTAGGAGGTCTTACTTGTCCTTTCCTTTGAGACAAACAGACAAATAGATATTTAAGCACTACCAGCCAACTCCTATACCTTAGTCAGATGCTTGAGAAAGTCTATGGAAAAGGCCAGTCTCTAAAGGCACTGACATGGGTAGAAAATAACATGACAGATGAAAAACATGCAAAATACATTTTTCACAAGTGACCTAGTGAAAAGTTTAGAACTAGGTTCCAAAAGGAAGTGACAACATGATCCTCTGCTAAACAAATGATCCGGTTCACAAATCCAAACACATGCTCCAGAAAGAGCATGATGACACCAGTAGATCAGGAATAGTTTCATAGTTCCTCTTTTAAGTAAGTTGCTATACCATAACACTTCAAAATTATGAGTTAGGCATATAATTGTAACAGGAAATACATGGGCTTTCCTAACCCATTACCTTAAAACTCATCTGTATTAATTAAAAATAAAAAATAAGCTCACATACATGTTCTGCCTAATCCCTTGCATTTTCTTGGAGGTAGCCATGGACCTTTCCACTGGAATAAACTGCTTATTTAATCCCTCTGCTTCTTTTTAGGAAAATCCATCTTGAATGAGAAGTTACTTTACAGTTATCCATATTAAGCCTATGTACACTTATATGATTCATATAAGATCTTAATTTATAAACTAAACAAAGAACTGTACAGATGCTATAGGAATCATTTTGCTTTTCCAAACATAGGTTATTTAACCTACCAGACAGATTTATTTGAATTGTACTTTGTCTTAACTGACAGCCAAAAAAAAATATTTTTCTTTGTTTCATGTCAAAGCATTGTTGGAACAGCACATTCCACAAGTTTGTTCAGTTATCTAAAATATTTTCTCAGGTGGGTCCCTTACGACATGGCTAGTCATCCACAAGCATCTCCTTGAGCCAGCAAATAATGGCACAGCTTCCTATTTTTCGATCTGTGGTGAAGAACGAATTCTACATGTATGAAATTCTTAGTTCAGTCTTAAGCAGAACAGTAATTAGCTAAAAAGAAATTTGACCTAAAACAGATTAAAGTAGAACATGTTTGTTCACTCAAGCTCACATTGGGTACAGAACAGAACATGGGGAGTGTCTGCTTACTCTCCAACAACTGCCCTGGAGTATTCCTCATTTCCCACCTTATACTCAAAATCACAGCATGAAAGTAGCACTTTTTAAAATAGAAGCTATGCTATGGCACAGCACTAAAAGGCAGAAAAGCACGTAATGTTGTGTGGTATCTTCCCTCAATGTGCTCCCCCTTATGAAGTCCGTATCTCTGGATTCCAGCAAAGAGCCAGGCTTTTCTTTTCCCCTGCTGTAACTATTTACTCCTCGCTGGTAGCAAGATTCCCTCCAGAAAGCACTTCATGTCCCACCTACGCCACACAGCCATTACTACACTAAGTGGGACTCTATAAGTCTTTGATACAATTAGACAGATTTGGGGGCATTTACCCCACGTTTAATACAGCAAATTTAAATGAGGAAAAAAAGTGGTTTGAAATAAAATAAATCTTTAAGCATTGAAACTAACAATGTTTACAATAAATGCTTACAATAAATAGAAGTACAATGTCCCAATGACTGGGAATCATGCAAAATCATGTTTCTTGGTATGGTGGGAAGAAGAGGACATGTATGCTACTGCTTGTTAAGTGAAGGGTAAGGGAGAGGAAGAATAGGGACAAATAGTAACGTGCAACTTAAAAGTGTTAGATTTAGTACTATGACTATGAAGAGCAGATCCATCCAAGAAAGCAAACAGACCATCTCACATATTCCCATCACTCAACATGAAAACTATGTGGGAGGAAAGTCACACTACAGCTTGTTCCTACTTGCACCCAAATGGTATCTACATTCTGCAGAAACTGAAGCCCTGTCCTGAGTACCACTTCTGCTATCTTGTACCTAGTGCAAGAATGTTATTCATATTTCAAGAGGCTGGCTGTGAATTTTCTGGTACTGTTATGTCTTAGGCACATGAGAGGTATTTGTCTTTAGAAGTTGTTTCTTTAAGTGCTGCTCTCCTGCGGCTTTACAAAAGCCTCACAAGGGTCACAGTTTAGCTGATCTGAAGTTGAGCGGATGTCATGAGCTATGAACTTCTTGGGAATGGTTCAAATGTGATTCCTGTTCTAAGGTGACAGCACAAAACCAAGAGCAGAGCAACTGCTGGACAATGAAAGTTCAAGGTGTAGAGGGAAGGCCAACACCACCACGTTAGCCTGGGGTGCACAGCTGCTTGTCCAGGCTAGCCCCACCTGGTAAGCAAAACCATGAGGAGCTATTGTCACCTGTGGTCTGGTCCTGACTCTCCCTTTTCTTAGTGCACCCTGTTACCAAACTGTGATTCTTGGTCAGACATAGGCTATAGAAACAATGCTATTTTGCATATCTTACTTAAGTTAGCCTTTTGATACTACCACTGTCATTCATCCGCTCTCCAAAGAAAAAGCCAAATAGACAAAAAGTGTTTCTATTGTCTTGTCCCTGCTAGATTCCATTATTGGTAACACTGGAGATAAAAACCCCAATGTATAGGCATATTTTAATGGATCAATAACAAAATAAACGATTCAGTGTGGTCTTCAGCATTCTCTGCTATGAGTAAAGTTTGAGTTCCAGATAAAGACATCCGAAGTTTTACCAATTCGCAAGGGCTCTGGACTCACAGCAATCAAGGTGCCGTACAGTACATATCATCTTAGGCCTTGACTTGGCAGACACTTATTAAAAGTGAATCAACTTCAAAAGGGATGAATCACACATGTGAAATTAACACGCATGTAAGAGTTTGCAGGATTGGGGCCTTAGGGTGCACACCTTCCACCAACTCTCTTTAAAGAAATGCAGGTGTAATGTATATCCAAACTTGACTGGCTTCATTCTTTTTAATGCTTGCTCCCCTAGCAACTGGAATGGTTATGGCAGGATCAGCTTAGTTTCACTTGTTCGGTTTTCTGCATGCTATTGGTGGGAATTTTATGGTCAAATACTGTAAGGACAGGCTTCGGTGCGCTTCTGGAGTCAGTGGCGGTTAGATTTTCACTCTGCTTTAGATTTCCTGAAGTAATGTAAATGTAACCTTGCAAAATATCAAGTATTTAAATTCATATTTACGTGGGAGGTAATTTTACTGCCTCTAATCTGATGTTCTCACAGCGCTGTATGAGCAACTCCCTATTTTCAACCTTTTACCACTGCTCTACAAGTAAATGGAAATACTTTTACTACACAAAATATACACAATTTTTATTCAAGACATTTTCCTGCTTAGAGAGTTTTTGTTATTAAAAAAATATTATTCTATTGTTTTGAAAATGAATTATCCCTTGAGGGTACTCTAAGAAATTAAAGGAATGCTACTAATTTTGATATGTCAAGCAACTGGCCTAAATTAACAGTGGTCTGTTTAGCTTCATGCATAAAGTCAATGAGACTGCACGCAAATTGCAGAGTTACAAATGAAAAAGCGGAAATGCAGTAGTTTATTTCTTATTTAGAAAGGGACTCCACATTTTACCATCTAAAGAAACAAAGAAAGAATCACTTAAAGTAAAAAAATTTAAGAGACTGTCATTGATACAGATCAAGTTTCTGGTCTACCAGCTGACAGTGTTATGTTAAGAAGCTTTTAACAACAGACATAACTCCTGATCATCGTTACAAATTATTAAATGGAAAAGAGAAATCAGTCATCATTATATAGGTTTGCATGCTAGGTTAAAAGGCAAGCCACTGAGAAATGTGACATAAAAACCTGGAAGAAAGCTATTTTTAATATGAGTGGATAGTGCACTACAGTTAAATTCCAATTAAACAAATATTAATTATCAGAAAATGGGATTAAGCTGATACAATAGTCAGTAAAATTGATAAAGTTACAATATTAAACATTTAAAGCATTGACTGCTTGTTAAGATCAGTTTTCCCCCTTCCCTCTCTGCGACTTTGTACACTGCATCAGGATAATGTCTTCACTTTCAGCACGCAACTGTTTAATAAATAGAATTTAAATATTTCTGTAGCAGAAATCTTTTTAGTGGGTATCGAATTATGCACACATACAGCTGTCTGATCTTTACCATTCTCCTTTATATGCTTATCAGCGTGAAATGCAGTGTGAGTACACAGCAGATCATAAATACACATTTATGAGTTTAGTTCTAAGTCAACTCTTCCTCTCATTCCAACAGTAGAAACAAAAAGAGAAACTGAAAATAGTTATGGTGCAGTTTCCTTTTACAATTCCCTGTATCAAAATGGGTGTGCAGTTTTAAAGAGCTTAAGACTCATAGTAGGAGTCTAATATAGGAGTGGCAATGCTAAGGAATCCAAACAACAAGCTCATGTGAAATTCCTCAGGCAGTAGATGGGTGCGGTAAAAAACGTAGCTGCCTGATTTGCAGGAACATCTAATGGTATCTAATGCTTTAGCATTTTCTCACATTGGACCAGAGCCACCTCTATTCAACTGCAAGGTTATTTGTTTGATTTGCTGTTGGGCTTGTTTTCGCTTTAAGACTTTAAGGGTTTGCCACTGAAGGGCTTATATATTCATGAGATAAAGCAGCAACTACAAAGCCATAGGGGACCATGTAGTAGGTACAGCAATAGCACAGTGTGGCCACACAGGACTTCAAGTCTCAAGTTAATAGAGCCTGCTGAGTTTTCTACATCTGGTCTTTGAGACAGAAAAAGCCTTTAAGTTATTCCTGTAGCCAATGCAAAACCAGGACTGTCAGACCTCCCAGGGAGCTAACTCCAGCCTGATGGACCAGGTAAACTTGTCAACAGTAGAAAGCTGTAGGAATATTTGGGGACAGACATCCATGAAGACCACGAAAATTCTATCACTCCAAGCTCCTTTACAGAAAAAAGTCGTCTCTCCTGCCATCATAGAGACTGAATATGAGATAAGGAGCTGAAAGTGGATCAAAGAAACAAGAAGAGATTAGGGCATGCAGCTTCTAACATGTTGGAAGATCAATGGCTCTATGAATCCCCAGGCTATATAAATTAATTGTTTTAAAATTAAATGTTGATAACTGATAACTTTTATATTCTGTGCTATGGACATTCCTTAGGACTATACAACATGGAAAATATCAGTAAATCGCATGTCCGTGACTACCATTCAAGAACTTCTGACACCCAGAACAAGAGGAAGAGGAAATCCACAAAGCAGGCAGAGCCATGCAGCCATCCTGTATAATGATGAGTGGGTGGAAGGGAAAAATAAAAAAAACCCTGTCACCCAGCAAGAGATTCAGGAAAGCACTGGGGAAAGGGAAAGATTAAAACATGTCAACCTACCTGTATATTTTATGCCAATTGAAACAGTCATGTCTTGATGAGAAAGGGGAGGGCAGAAAGAAAACTAACAGCCTGTAGTCCTGCACTCTCACTTCTGACAGTCAAAGCACTGATTAGTTTGGCTCTGGTTTATAAGGAAGCCTCATAAGAAACAGTGGAGTCCTGAAGTCACGGACAAAGTCTTGGCAGGAAGGCAGCAAAAAGTTACATTATGCTAAAATTCTGCATGCATACCAAGTTGTTTGCTTTCATTTCATATTATCTTAAAAAATCTTTTAATCTAGGCTAGTCTCATCCTTTGAAATGAAGCTGGTTTGTGTTATTTTAACTGCTGTCGGTTATACATGACTACTGAGGCAAAACAAGACGAAAACACAGGGATGGACATTAAATCCAAAATGATAGAAGGTTTATAAGCTTTACATAGAGCGGTGTATAAATTATTTTGTTACCTGAACTTGATTGCATTCATCAGTGGGGTAGATCCATATCTGTCTCTAGCATAAACAGTTGCGCCAGATGTCAACAGATACTCAACTAATGGTAAATGCCCTTCAGAGGCTGCAATATGAAGTGGAGTTCGACCATCGTAGTCTCCACAGCTCAAGTTTCCACCCTACAAAAGGACAGATCCTTCGCATGCTAAAAAGATAATGGCTGCGCATTAAGTTGTTGGTACACAGTAGATGCATACACCACATTTTAATTCTGCCACCAAAATGTTAAGCTTGTCAAACTTACTTAAAGTTTATCTTGTAGTGTTGTTTTAGCATCAATAAAGATATTTATTCCACCTTCTGCATGTTCCCCCCCTCTACACTTATTTTCATTACAGCCCCTTCATATATGCTTTTCATTGCAGGACACCACACAGCAGCTTAGTGCCTGTGGTCTGCTAATTTTACTTGTCTTAGTTTATTGTTATTTTCAAGATATATTTTTCCTTTCTCGAGGCCCATTACCAAAGTCTCAAGAGTAGGGTAAACCAAGGCAAAGAGAAAAAAGAAAAAGTGTAGAAGATGATACAGGGAAATGCCTGTTTCTTTTTTGCAGGTATAACCCAAGCCAGAGCTATGGGGAGAGCCAAAAATCCTGAATTAGCTCTGCACTGTGTTTTACTTAAATATAATTTTCAAGTTCTTTTTTTTTCATCATGACAGATTTACATCCAAAAGCTGGGTAATATGAATATACATAAAGTTAAGCGAAAGAAAGCAGCACAAACCATTTTAAAGTGTTCCAAAGTTAGCAGATAAGAACTTGCATTTTAATCTACCTGTATTTTCACAGTTCAAAAGAAAATGTAAACAGCTGAGAACCAGATAGGGGAAAGAACATACCAGTTTTGAAAGGCAAAGACTGAGGAGCCTAGAAATGAACTGTATTAATCAAAGCACCTTGATTCTAAGACTTAGGTAGTTGCTTCCCAGTGAGCATAACTTCCTCCCATCATTTATAGCTCTACTTAAAAATTCATGTTTTGTACAAACTGTTAATTTTACATTACCATTTCTGCTATGGCTCTTAGTGCGTCTATGTCACCCAGTTTAGCTGCAGCGCAAGCCAGAGGTGGAATTAATGCGTCTCTTACAGCTTCTAACTCCTAATAAACAAATACAGTTAAACATTTAATATCAGTGTCACCTCTAATATGATTGATGTCCAAGTCATAAAAACACTGCCTTTGCTTTCATGTAAAGTTTCCAAATCAGTCATTTGGTTATTTAAAAATGGTAGCATTTAGTTCTTGGAAGGAAAGAAGTCTCATGTTTATTTTACATTTTGTTGGTCTCACATCCATGAAGATTTATATCCCTCCCTGGCAACACTACAATTGCCTGATATCCATATATACCATTTAAAGTGCACACACTAATTACTGTCTCTGTACCGCCATAGTTACACATCAGTACAGTAAAAGAAACAGTGCTAGTAGGAGTTGGAAAAGACCATATAGTCCAGTCTCCTCAAGACTGGATCAACTTTCTTCATGTGATTCCCCAGATATTTGTATAACCTGCACTTCCAAACCTCCGCTGACAAGCCCCATAGGCCCCCCTAAATATCCTCCCATTTCTCACACTTATTAAAGAACCATACATTCAGTACTCATTAGCTACTAAAAATCCCATCTTCCCTGAAACCAAGGCAAGAGAAAAGCAAATACTTGTATCTTACAGCCAATACTATATTTTCTGATTTTCCAGTTGGGAGGGACTAATATTCAACACCACAAATTATACTTGCGCAGTACTTTCTTAGTATCAGCCTTCTATGACCGCATGTACAATTAAGCTGGTTTACCCGTTATTATTTGGATTGCTCCAAACTGTCAATACATTTGACCACAAAAATACAAAGCACTTTTTCATATCATTGATACCCTGAATTACAGCAACTGTCTGAGGCTTGTTATTGCAACCAGCCAGCCAAGAAAATAAACTCAAGATGGGGCTACAAAGAGGGAAAAAAAAAGTTAATATGTTTTAAATTAGAAACATTTTAATGTTATGCTTGTCATTGTGTCCTTTCTCCGTAACCCAACCAGTTAGCTGGGTCACTCAGTACTAAAAAAATAATATAAAAGCTCCAATGTTCCATTTTTCTTTCAGCTTTGCTGTTCATCTTTAAGCTAGGTTCATTTAACTGAGTTTACAGCTTTATATTAGTTCAATTTTAAATATTCAAGTATATACCTCCTTGCTGCTGATACTTAGAGATTTGGCAATCACTTGAATAAACTTGCTATCTCTCAGAGAGATCTTGGCTCCTGTGGGTACAACAGTCATTTCTCCTCTTAGATTCTCACTCAGCATCTGAAAAGCAGGCAATCAAACCCTTTGTTAGCAGAAGAAAAATATGGTAGTAGTCTAATAAAAAAACCTTAGGATCAAGTTAGAAAATTGTTTGGCGGAATTATGGAAACTAATTGAATGCAGACAAAAGATTAAAGAAATAGTTACTGTCCCATGAAGACTGCAAGTTTAAAAAGACAAAGGAGAAAAAAAAAAAAAAAAAAGAGAGACAGGCAAATAAAACTTTCTTCCAAAGCAAAGAAACCAAAATAAGCACATAACAAAGCACCCCAATTTTTAGAGTATGCAGACAAAAGTTCCCTAGTGGAGTAAGCTCCAGCCTACTTAAAAACACAAAGATAGTGAGTAATTAGCAGAGTGAGGCTGAAGACCAGAATATTCTGAAATGCAGCCTTTTGCCTACTCCTACACAGACTGTGTACATAGGCCTCAAAACACAGCCCAGTGCTGCCTGTGGACCGTCATGTATTTCAATGGATTTTCAAATGGCTCCATTAGCCCTGATTTTGTTAAAATTTGGCCACAGAGCCAGCTTTGAATGCAGAGGGTCTACGGTAGTACTAGTCATTCAATATTAAAGCAGACGTTTAACAGTTTGCAGGATGGGTGCATCCAATACAACCAGGGAAAAAACCCCAACAAAACCAAACAAACCCCCCAAAAGGTTAGCCGATTCATGTGTAGAAAGTGCTTGAACATGGCAATAAAGAGATGAAAATACTCCATAAGACAGGTTCTGGGAAATCTGGAGAATAGAGAGAGAAGCTGGTCGTTAAGAAAAAGCAACTGGTTTCCTCAATTCTGACAATTTTACATACTGGCACTCTTTCACGAAAGGTTGCTGATGCAGCTATAAAGCACGTGGTTATTTCAATTAGAATTTTAAAAAGCAGGATTGTGAAAGTTTGCAAGAAACAGATGTGATGTTGGAAGGAGGAATGCCCCAGGTTTACTTATGTCTAGGCATGCCCTTTATTTAAAAAAAAAAAAACCAACTCTAAACGCTGACAGCACTGTAGCTGTCTGCTGGAAGACTCCCATATACATGTAACTCAGAGGATACCAACTGCTTTGGCGCACTTTTAGAGTTTGACAGGTTGAGATCATTGCTTTGCAAAGGTAACCCTAGCAATTGGCACCTGTGCTAAATGCACCCAGTGCAAAGCCCTACGTGCCTTACTCAGTCCTACCAGCTCTGCAGTCATTTGCATGTGTCTGGGGGCACATTCCTTGCTTCTTCGTGTTGAAAGAGAATCCTAAAATAACCACGCCAGCTTCAGGAGAGCTTCCGTCTCTTGGGATACTATTGTTTGGTGATATGTTTAGCTGAAGATATTGCCACAGACAACATATTTCCAGGCTTTCTTCTTCTCCTGGTCTCTACCACTCATTCCTGCCCAGGCAATGCAGTATGCTGCTCCTTTAGCTGTGCCAACACAATTGTTTGTGGGTCTGTACGATGAGTCAAATGAGGAAACCAATCCTGCTTAACTCAAAGAAATTGCAAAAGTTATTTTGTTTTTCAAACCATATAAAGGAGCTCCCAGCATCACCACACAAAAACTGTGTAGCACATTCTGAAGGGCACATGAAGATGCAGGACTACCTTATGCCAGTAGTACCTAAAACATCCTATCACCAAGTCCTCACCTGAGTAAGTCAGCTATCTCACCTCAGCAAACTGGATCTCAAATTAAGTTTTAACTCACACACCTAGGCAGGAAGCCAGCTGGGAAAGTTTCTCCTGTCCCAGGTCAAATAATCATCTGTGCAAGAAGATTAAAGTCTGCATTAAAAAAACAGGCTAGTATATGTATGTTACAGGGTCAGTGAGTGTACCAAAGGGGCATCCGTGAAGAGCCTGGGTTTCTAAAGTGTGTGTACACAAACACATGCAATACCAGTACTCTTCACACAGCATTATGTCGCCTGTCAAGCATGTTCTTGCACAGAATATGTTCTTGCCACCCTCTCTGAAGAAACACATAGCTCCTCCTCCTCATTTTTCAGAGCCAGGGCTTTAGCAAACAACTGAAAAGCTCAGAGTCTGAAACTGTTTCTAAGCATGGTAAGTGGTACTTCCAGCCACCCCACTCATGATCACAGGTATCCAAATATGTTTGTCTCAAGAGCTGCTACTGATTGGAAGATAGTGAGCATGAAATAATGAACAAATTTGTTTCAGTTTTTATTAAAACAAAACACCATCATAAGATACACATGTGCATGCAGTCCTTAAGTCTAGAGAGTGACTCATCATGATGTCATCTCCCCAAGTGTCAGGATTATGATTTCACGGCATACAAGCTCATTCCTGCAGACTGTTGCTCCCCTATCTAATGCAGAGCTATATTTTCCTTTTATAAAAGAAAGATGATATATCAACTAAGTAATTTGAGGAAAAAAGCCTTAATTAACATTAATGAACGATAAGAACATTGTTAAAGGGCTTATGATTTTAAAATCACAACTGGTTCTTAGAATAATCCTCTATTTTTTATGTATTTATAAAGTGTATCTCCTCCTAGAGAAATAAAATCTAACACTATAATGAGTAATGCTGTATAGGAAGAGGCTGTAGGCAATATTTATTTTTAGAATTAGCTTTGTGTGAATGAGTCTTGGATGAAATCTATACCACACTAAGATCAATGACAAGATCTTCGCTGACTTCAGTAGGGTTGGGATACTCTCATGTGAATTTCCACATATGGGTTTTTATTACAGAAATGTCCACGGTAAACTACTACCCTTTAAAGATAGCATTTTTATGGCTTGGTCACTGTCTTCACCTGACTTATGCAGAGAATTCTTTTCTCTCCCAATCTACATACATTCATTTGCCTAACAGTATTTTCCCTAAGAAAAAAAAAAACCACATGATGGCATTACGGCTGAGGAACCAATCACTTTTAAATGCAAGAGAGAAGCTCAAGGCATTCAGCTAAGCAGAAGTTAGTACAGTATATGAGAAAATTAAAGCCTTTCAAGGTCACACTGAAATATTTACCTGCCTTTTCTCCTCCCAGCTAAGCCTACTCTTGCTGAGCGTGTACGACAGTTTAGTTAGGGCTGCCTCTGGTGTCATATCACCTCCAGGAATTACTCCAACATCAGCGAGAGTCTGTATAAAAAGGAATAATGATTCCAATTAGCATAGCATTCAGAAATACCTGCGTGTACAGAAAATGTACGTGAATGATGAGTAGCTACACAGAAGACAGTATGCAGCCGTGCCTCCACTCTCTTGCTCCTCCTACTGCCACTGTAATTTTTGTAATTTTAGTTATCAAATACCAAGCAAATACTAGAGCCAGCTGAATAAAGATGACTTTCACTTTAAATTCCTTTTCATGCAATAACATTGAAGAATTCAACTAAATGCTTGCCACGGTCACTTACTATGCTAAAAGGGAAAGGTTACAGGTCTGTATCAGCTATCTGCAGAGTTGTCAAATTCCCTTTATTGAAAAGCTGCATTTATTCTGTTTTAACCCAGTGGCATTTTGAACATTGCCAAGTAGGCTGTTCTCACACAGACATATTTACCATTCTTTTATGGGGCATTGCTTTGGATGAATTCCAGCACTACAGTGTGCTCACAGCAGGAGGGTTTTCAGATCCTTTCAGGCTGTGCTAGCAGTGTATGATTTAGAACATACAACTAAAATATGTAATTTACACTGTTCTGACAAGAACAACTAAAAAAGATGACCTTTTCAACTCATCTGTTTGGTAGGTAAAAAGAAAAAAAAAATCTGAACCAAAGCAAAAAGCAGAAAGATCATTGCTATGGTCAGCAAGCCCCATAAGTGTGCAGTGAGCAAGATGATGAAGACAAAGGAGATTTCAGATCTCTTGTGACTAAATTGTGCCTGGGCAAACACTCAGCTTCTCCAAACCACAGACCATCATCTTTGTCACAATGTGATGCCTCACAGTTAAGCATCTTGCAGTAGGTTCTTTACACTGTATTTTACTTTTAAATACCTTGTATAAAAACTTCAGGTTTGAAACTTGTTGTGGCTTAACTAATATTTTTATCAAGATACAGAGCCTTGATCAGCTCATTAACCACCTCCAAGAGCCCCAGACTAACATTTTAAAAAGTCCCATGGGAAAACATATACAGAGAAGGTGAGAAATACTTTCTGTACTGCAGAGCTAGCCAAAGAACAGTTAGGGCTTTTTCATCAGGTTTGAGAAAGAGGAGGAGGAAGGGATTTCCCAGCTTCCTTCCTATACCTAAAGTCCCCTCAATTATAAGTTTCTACTGTGTAGAACTTGAGGCCAGACATTCAGTTAATTAAAACAAACACTTCAAGGGAAACTAGGGACTCAGCTGACCCACCTGGCTAGCTTGAATGAGTAAAAAATGGCCTAGCCATATGCAAAGACCTGTGAAAGATTTTATTTAAAGAAAAATCAGAGTAAAGTTAACATTACAGCAACTTTCCAGCATTCACCCATGATAGTTCCTCCATTGAGCAGTTCTTTATGAAAAGGAGAAGGCAATGAAAGGACACGCATGAAGTAATTTTGTAGGGCTTGGCTCTGTCAGTGTTCTCCTTAAAAGATGCCAAGAAAACAGGGCAGCTTCATCAGTGGATGCTGAAGCAACATCATACATGCACCATATACAAAGTGGAAGCCAGAAGTAAACACATTTCCACACAGCTGAAACAACCACACAGCCATTCGCTCCTGCTTCCTCTTCCCCCAGCTCTATATGCTGGGCATGATGCCATATGGTACGGAATATCCCTTTGGTCATTGCAGTCAGCTGTCCCGGCTGTGTCCCCTCCCAACTCCTTGTGCACTCCCAGCCTACTCACTGCTGGGGTGCGGTGAGGAACAGAAAAGGCCTTGGCTCTGTGTAAGCACTGCTCAGCAGTAACTAAAACATCCCTGTGTTATCAACACTGCTTTCAGGTGAAGAGGTGGAAAGGAACTCCTACAACCTCCTTTTCTTTCTCCTCAAAACAGACTTTGTTCTTGAAGCAAATATAATCTAAAGCTGTGTCAAAACCAATGTTAAAAGAAGCAGGTTTCAGCACCAGACTAGAGTATCTAAGTTTGCCTTACAGTCAATGAAGAGGCTGGCTCTGGCAGACGGGTGGTTGCTCCCAGCAAAACCAGGTGTCTAAAACAGGGGGATGAGTCACCCCCTGGCAGTGCTTCTTGACTATTTAATGGCTAGCCTTTTTATAAAGGCCAGTTAAACCAGCTTCCTTCACACTACCACATGCAACACGTACTCCTATATGGCTTTGAGCTCTTACTAGTCTCAGTGATGTCATGTCTCAATACACAATTGAGAAACTCACTATAAAATATTAACTGAATATTAACAGTATCTGCACGAACTCTGCTTTAAGCTAGCCTCCATGGGTTAAACACAGCTGATTTCCATTCTGCAAGACAGATGCTTCCTTCCATACTGTTCTCCAATCTCTCACTGGATTCAGTTGTACTTCCAGTCAAATAAAAAACTGGGATTTGGAATATTACTTGGATTTGCAGGCTTTGTTGATGTTCTTACATTGTAGCTAAGTAACTGCTAGCCTATCAAATACTACTTTATTTGATCATCTGACCTCTAAGCTAGCTTCTAGCTCAGTGGAATCCCTTTGGGAGAGATACTACCAATCTAATGCAAGGTATCCTGGAGTGCTGCACGGATCAGGAGCAAGCAATCACTAATTTGGGATTTGAGCTGACTATTTCAACCATTCAGACTAGGAGTAACAGGATCTTGTTTGCAGATACATATTTACATGCTTCCAGCTAAGATTTTTCAGATATAATTATTTTATGAGCAATCTCTTTTATCTTATTAATAAATCTGGTTGTATACATTGGGACTACTAGAAGTATACGATCAAGCTGTATCAGGGCGATGTTCCTTTGACATAGCAGCAGTCTGAAATCATTGCACAATCCTTACCTGCCCTGTTGCATAGACTGTTTTAACAGACCCTCGTAAGCACTGGGTACAGTTTAGAATCACTACTTTCCGTTCAGCCGCTTTCTTCAGTTCTTTCAGCAAGTCTTCTCTGTTGTTTGGGGCATTACCACTTCCATAAGTTTCAAGTACAATGCCCTCAATTGGAGGCTGAAGAAATGCTTTTACCTATTTAGAAACGAGACAGGGAAGGAAGACAAAAGGTGTGTTTAAGTCACGTTAAGATTTTCATGTATGGCACAGAGTTTTTAAAAATAGTCTATTCCTGTTATATCTTACAGGCTCTCACACCTTACAGTCTTCTCATGCCCTTATGTGCTCCCCATTTATAATAACTGAGACTGTAAAGCTTTAAAAAGATGAGATTTTCACTCTTTAGCTTCCTTTAAAATTCCTAGAGGGATAGATTTTAAAATAAACTATTTTCTACAGTCATGACCTCAGCGTGAAAAAGGATGCCATTGTTCAAGTGCCATTAACAGGCTATACTGTTGCACCATGGCGGAACAAAAAGGTAGATTTACACCTATGAAATAAATGTAGAATTATTAATTGAGATTAGAACCCCCACCCCTGCCCAGACTTGTTACTTTAGCAAAGAGTTTTGTTAACAAATGTCTGTCTAAGAAAGAAAGTGTCTCACTTTTCAGGAAAGAACATTCTAACGAAACTCAGAGTTTAACGCAAAAAACAATTGATTTAACTCAAGGCAGAGAAAAAAAAGGAGGCAGTAATACATTCTAGGCCAGTTGTTAATGAGGTAGCTATTGTGGATCACTGTAAGAGAATGCCCAAAGTCCTCTTCCTAGAAAGATGCATTTTAAATAACCTAGATATTTCCTTGCTGATCACATATGCTAAATGCAATACACTGTAAGCCCCCATGAGGCTAACTATGCAGTTGGAATTTTATTGTAAATATACCACCCCTCTGCCTTTCCATCTGTTCATATTCACCTAAAAAGAATGGTAATATAATTGAGGAGTGCTGCTTAAACTACTGGATTCAATTTAAGATGGCAACAGCCACAAAAGACCTGTCAATTTAATGGAACTTGTATTAGACAAAAATTTAAAGACAAATCTACCTAAAATCACAGTTCTGCAAAATAATTTCTAAAGACAAAAAAAATCCCATTTCTCATTTTCAGCTCTGTATGAATGCTGAGGGTCATGTTAACTCTCAGTGTGAGACAAAATGAACCTTAAAAAACAAGCATGAGTTGTAGAAATAGTCACGCTCCCCTCCACCCACCAAATTGTGTATTCTTTGACAAGATACCTATTAATACGCCTCAGTATGCAGCAAGAGAGCATTTCCATGGTCACTGTAGCCTGCATCTGTCTAGAAAAGCACACGACCTATTTATGAGCCCTGATAAGAAATTAATTCTAAGTTTCAGAGCCCAGGTGGTTTAAACAAAAGATATTTGAAAAGCTTTTATCAATAGTTTATAGCATATGAAAATAGACTTTGAATGCTCTGATATTCAACATTTATCAAAAAAACATTTATCAGAAGAAGATCCTTTTCCTTCCCTCCAAAACCCCAACCACTGCTACAACAATGCAGCAGCCCTACTTCAGCTAAGTTATCAAGTATTTAAGCATCACTTCACCCACTTCCAAAATGAAGTGGTGACACTTACAGCAGCAGCGGTGATTCCTGGGAAGATTCGCAGAAGCCCAACATTCCTGTTCATATTGGTGTGAACTTGAAATTTCTTTTTGGTATTGGCTCTCCACACCGTTTCCCAGTTTACTGTTAAAGAGAAATGGCTTTTTAAATTTAATATTAAGACATAATATTAAGTACACTTGTAGCACTTCCTACTTACAACATTGTCTTTAAAACTGTTTCTTATGTAGGAGATTCATGAAAGAATTTTTGAAAAGAGGAAATGAAGGCCCATAGCAGCTGATCTAAAACACCTTATTTATTAGGTGTCACAAAATGTGTCTTCAAGGCCACATCCAGGTCAGCCTCAACTGTGTTATATTTTAGCTTTAATTCCAAAATAGTCTAGATTCCAAGACAAATTAGTATTACTGGACAATATTTCTAAGTTAGTGCCCTTCAAGGAGATATTTAACATGTATACTTCAATTCAATAGCATTTTATAGCAAAGACTTCCCAAATGGATATTTTAGTTCAATGACCATTAGTGAACTGGATGATCTCTCAGACACAAAGCCGCATACCTCTACTACAACCTCTTCAAAAGACAAGTCTGATCGCTATGAAAAGCATCTGAGTACTAGACCCGATGGCTTCACGATGTTGACCATGTCCTGTTAGTGCCAACTCTCCCAGTTCAGAGTGCTCAGAAAGCCTCAACCAGGAGAGCAGTGTGCAGGTGTAGCATAGGTGAGATATTTACTTGTCACGCACTGACCTGAACTTTGTTGTTATGTAGTTGGCCTGATACCAGCCTGGATTCATGTTTAGAAAACAGACCTTCATCTTCCCAGACATAAGAGATGACAAATGCAGTTACTGTTGCCGCTAATCACCTCCAGAGTTTATTAGGTAGTTACTAACGATTAAATAAAATAGCAAGGATTCAATTAACTCCGATTATGCATTTAGAGCCAGAAGCCAGCTGTTTAACTAATAGTTTGTTTGTGTTGCATTATTAGAAGCCAAGTCATGCATTATTGATTTCAAAATTTTACTACTTCAGTATCGGAGTGCGGTGTTTGTAGCACTGATGGGTCCTACAAGGCAGTGGAAGAGGTTTAACAAACAGCAGCCAACAGCTCAGAGCGTCATGCTTCACTGAAAGTAGACCATGCCATAAAGTTACCCGTTTCCCCATCCTGATTTAAGCTTTTTAGATTTTGGAGAAACTCCCAAGCAGCAAGACAGATAAAAGATCTGCGTACATAATACTGACTTGCTCTCAGCCATGTGGAGAGTTACTCACACCAATTACTGTTGCAATCTCTTGCAATCAGCAGGCAGCCATTTGCAAGAAAATTCAGAGTACATTTAAGCGCCTCCATTGAAGCCTACTCTATTGCCCCATTACCGGGGATACTAAAAACTACGCAATCCATTAAGTCAGGACAGAAAATAGCAGTCGCCTATAAGATTTTACAAACTTCCCCTTCGTGACATGGTGCCCTGTCAGCAACTGGAGCGTCTGTATGTTCTTGCTAAAGAAATACTGTAAGTTGTTAAACAGGTCACAAGCAGTTGGCTTGGCATCATGTTTGTCCAACCAGCCACACTTCAGCGCGTGGATTCCTAATGCCCTGGGAATGGGAGAATAGAAATATAGACCATTGCTATAGTTTCTTTCTTTGTGCTGACCAGCACGGTTCTGAAACCACCTGGCTGGATTTAGTAGTTAGCTAAGCAGCTCTCAAAGGCCTCCATGAGCCTTCCAGAGTAAGTTAGAGACCTGCAGGAGGTACACGGGTGAGTGCAGAAAGCCATGCTTTTGTTCTGCTTGAGGTTCGTAGGCCCAGCTAACCACGTTCACACATAAGCACTGTGCTTTAAGAAGCAGCAGTGTTTAGCAATAAATCCAGTCCTTTCAACTTTCTAACACACAGATTAATTCTTTAAAAGCAGCCTCCTCTATAAGAAAGGAAAGCAATAAAATCATATCAGAGCTTTCTTTCCTTTATCCTCCATAAGCTATGAGTCCCTGCCAAAACTTCACAAATGCATACTACTAAGTTTGGCCACTTTTAGCATCCCTAATGCCTGTAACGAACTTGACGAATGAACTGAGGAAACCTGCCTTGGCATGGATCTCTAAGACGTTGCCAGAAGTAGAAGACCAAGGAGAGAGATCAGAGGATAGGTTCAGAAATCAGACCTATACCAGGCCTATACCTGTACTCTTGGAGTACGCTCTACCAAATAACATAGCATCTTCGAGATAAATGTAATGCATTCAGACATAGTACAGTGATGTAATTCCAAACTACATTAAAAAAAAAAAAAAAGAACTAAAGATTATCCCTGAGTTAACATTCTCTTGGTCATGAACCTCGTCAGGCTACATAACACGCTCAGCACTGCAGACTCACAGATGTCAGTTTTCCATTAGACAAACGAGTCTAAAAAGCAGAACAAAAGGCAAGTGTGATGCAAGAGCTAAAGATAAATATACATAAAAGCCTGACTTCATCTCAGATTTATTCAGTACTGTTGTAAGCAAGGCAGAGCGCCATGCAGGGGAAACAAAATTTAGAACACACCCTTTGCATCCTCCATCTCGAAAATTATATCTCCATAAGGGAAGAATTACATAGCTAAGGTCAAGCATCTTCATTGTACTGAAGAAACCAGCTGTCTTGCAGCCTATAGTGATACCACAGAAATAATCTTTTTGTTAAAAAATTTAAAAAAAAATTAAAAAATCTTAGGAATCACAACAGTTCTTAAGTAAGAAACTCATATACGAGCAGGTAAAGTACAAAAAGCTGTATATATTGGTGTTCTTAACAGTTTTTTATCCTATGGATAAGAGTGACTAATTAGGGATATTCCGTTTGGCACAACATGGAAAACAGCAACCTGTTCTGACTTGGATAGCCTGCACTTGTAAAGAGTTTAACTGATGTAGTGTACTGCATTATGTAGATATGGCTACAAAGCTGAGGAACAAACATAAGCTAGCTACTGGTCTTGCACACAGGAAGAAAGCTTTTAAAGAGATGTACATAAAATAAAGAGGTACTGGCTATTTATATACTGTATCCAAAATGGCTTGGAATAGAAAAGATTGCATTATTCAAGACATTAAGGTATTTTGTTTATTCTTCTAAACAAAACCATCACATAAACAATGCTCTGCCAGCAACTTCCAATCTCCCCCTCCCTACTAAACACTACTGCTTTTAAAATACAGCTCAAAAATACATCCTTATCTTATTCAGCTTTATTCAAACGCACACACAGAACTATGGTGACAGGGTTAGTACAGAAAAAACATCAACCTGACTTAAAAATTTAATAAAAAAAGAGAAGCAGCTCTAAACAGTCTAGAAAGCAGCCAAAACCCCCTTTTTTAAACAGCGCCTATGCCACAATGCAGGTTTCAACTTATAATGGGAGAGCAGCAACTAAGAGCGACACCTCCCTTAGGAGTGGTGACTGAACTGCGAGTTATGAAATCAAACAAGAAATACAGCTTTTCGTGATTGCAGAGCTCCAGACAAACAGCAACGCTTTCTTCTCATCCTCTGCAGGGCTACGGGTGAGCCCTACCATTATATAAGCTGCCCTGGTGTTCATTACAATTCACGGCGGCAGCCAAGGGGTGGGGAGTGCAGGCCAACCTATGGGTGCAAATTCCTGAAGAAGGCAAACAAACATAGACCCCCTTTTTTGGCAGTTTGTTATAAAACAATTGACACACACCTTTTGAAATGAATATTTAAATTCAATGGTGGTGTTGCAAGAATCAACATGCCTACTTCCAAGGGAGGGAGGGGGACAACACCAAAAGCACTTCAGTGAAGAGACCTGGCATTTGCCTTAATACATAACTGACTTGGGCTTTTACTATAAAAAACAAGAACTGCCAACCAAGACGAAGACTTGGCCAGTGATGAATAGCTTCTCTCTAATGAGACTGGTGGGTAGATGAGCCCAAAATAGCCTTCAAACCTTCTGCTGCTGCTGCACCACATCTGCATGCACAGTCACACGGGCTCTGTTTGTCCCCTACACAAGTTATGTTTCTCATCATACGGTCCTGGACATGTGCACCACTCCCACAAGTTACATGCACGTGCGGTGAAGAAAGTCCAGCCACGGTAACAATGCAAGTTTTGTATTTGCTTCATTAGGACAATCAAGAACAGAGGAGAGCAATCAGTTATGAAATACACTGAGACTCTTTACACATTTCAAGTGAAACAGTCCTCCTTGTCTCTCGTTTTCAAAATATGGGAGAAATAAGACAACGTCTTTTATTTGATAAGTTTTAAGATTTTAGAATTCTTTTTGGACGATATTTCTATATTGTCCATTTCATACAGATATTTCTGATTCTGCTGCAAAAGTATTTCCCATTGGCACTGGTTTTCTTACACATCTCAGGAGCGGGCTAGAATTTTTCACTTCTTACAGGAGTTTCTTGTGCTAAATTGAAAGTCTTGAGGAAGCTGACACACTGGCTTGTCTAAAACCAGATAACAGCACTCTTAGGTGTTGCTAACACAGTTAAGGATCTGGCCAAGAACACAGCCAGTTGATGGGATCAGAAATCCACTGGGAGCCTCACCTGAAGAGGGAACAGGGTGAAAAATGGATAGCAAAAAAGAAGAGAGCTGCAGCTAGGGTAGGGAAGGGAAGAGGACTAAACTTCTCCCTCTCCTCTCTAGCTCTGAAGTAGATCATTGCTTTTATATGGTATGACTAGCCTTGAACAGCATGTCCTCTCCTCATTCCTGCGTATCAACCCATAATCTCATTGCGCTCCCAACTCCATCCATCCTGTCACCTCTACCCCTCTGCTTCTCTGGAACTTTTATTTCCAGCTTTGTTAGAGCAGGAAGCCTGAGGAAGAGTTTCTGCACGTGGCCTACTCCTCCTGGCATCCTCAGGCTGCTCTCCATGATGCTCAAGCAGCCAGAATCAGCCCCGTCTGCAGTCAGCCCTGTCTACAGGAGGATTAAGACATATTATACAAACCTGTTTGAAAAATAAAAAAGTTAAAAGATGCTAGATTTGTTTGGTTTGTTTTTAAAAGCCCAGATGGTTCCTTGTCTCAAGGAAAACTTCATACGAGGGTTGTACAAGCAAACTCAAGGGAGATAGCGATGTTTCAAACAATTACTTTAGACAAAATAAAGCAGTACTAGTAGATTGCCCATACTATAAACTATGTTTTTTCAAAATGAAACAATCCTTCAATACTGACACCATCGTCTTGGATAAATGATGCTATCCTAACTGGGTAATCAACTGAAACAAATAAAAATAGAGTCTATCACACCATCAGTTTTTAAATCAGAAATCCCCGCTGATGTCAAATGGGGCATTCCACTGAAAAGATAATGGAACCCAATATGGGTCAAGGGAAGTACTTAATAACGTTCTCATTTTTCTACTATAGACAAGGAATCACAAAACAGTTCATTCAAATCCAAGAGAGAAATAGCACGCAATTTGCAGCTTGATTTCATTATTGATCAGTCAGTAAACAAAATTTATTTATACCCTATTAGATGCAGTTCATAAAAACCCAAGAAAGAAGATTCTCCTCAATTTACTGCAACAATCAACTGACAGCATTTCTGTTGATTTCAGATACACCGTATTTGACAGAACGCAGTATTACAACAGTGGCAGACTCTCTACCTGAGATATGTCTTACAGACCAGTACAGCATTTTACAGGCTTCCTCAGTTTGTACCTGGCTGCTACAAACATAGCATTTTGATCCTGAAACTAAGTAACTCCCACTCATAAGGTGGAAGGGATAAGTTCATTTTTCCAAATTGCAGAATGCCTCTCTCTAGTAGTAGAAACCATTCAGAATCGCATGCTGCATGACACAGGGCTAGATCTCCTACTGCCACTAACGGCACCTGCCAAAAGAATTCAGAAACCCCCTCCTATTCCTGTTTTTTTGTAAGAATGGAGATTGTCACCAAGTCCTACCCATTTTTAATAAACCTACCCTATCCAAAAGCAGCTCACATAACATGTTATATTTTTTAAAACTGTCCTTTAGTACGTTTTTTGGCAACTCCTCATTTGACTAGACTCCAAACTCGTCTCTCTTCTCCCCTCTCCAAAGAAAGGGTATCATTTATCCAAGAACAGACATCAATGTGTTAATAACTTCGCAAATGGGTACTGAAATCTTCATGCTGTTTTTCCACTCCTTAAATACACACACAGAAATTATAGGGAGCATAAGTAAGTTTTGGGAAAAAAAAAAATCACACAGCACATACTCTAGGTCTGCTGTTTTCAGTGTGCTTGCAGTTTAGACGGGTCCTAAATATCCAGTAAAACATCTTACACAATGACATGCATCAAATAGGGAATCTGTTGAAGCTGCAAGTACTTTGCAATGACTCTTTTGCCTGATTTCGGAGCCCAGCATGGTCATTAATGAGATTAAACTCCTTGTTCTTTCAGTCCTCACTCCCTCATTTTTATCTTCAGAGCAAGCATTTTCATGACACAGGGGCAACATTCCCTCTGGTTAGTCTGGATCTTTAGTCAAAGTCAGTCTCGCTTACATCTATATTCAATAGATAAATGCAGTTGAGTTACAAATTCTCAGTCTTACTAATATTTAAACAGTTTCAGAGCAGATAAAGTGGAGTCAGGCTACAGGGCTTTCAAAGATATTTGAGTTTAAAAACAGCATTTCAACTACATAGGCACAGATTCTTTTCAGCTAGAGTTCTATTGCATGTGGCATAAATTACAAGGCTTAAGAGATGATGTTGCTTACTTGTAATATCAACCTCAGCATTTGCAAGTGGAGGCAGGTTAGGCGAGGAAAAGGCATTGAAACTCCCAGCATCCACCTTAGTCACCCTATTTCCCCTGTACAGTTTATTATAAAAATACAGGCACACCTGCAAGACAAGTAAAGAAACAGGTCTATGAATAAGCCAGTAATTAAAAGATTCAGTAGATAAATACTGTAGTCCATCCTTTATAAAGTGTTTTCTAAATCTTTAAAGCAACTCAGAGGCTAGTAGATGTTTACAACTCTCACCCTTTCAAAAAGAGTTGGCACATCTGTCACACATTGGTTTAAGAATCTAAGAACAAAACAAGTTAAGAGCTAACTAGTTTCGTAATCCTCTCATGAGGCATAGTCTAGGAGACAGCAAATTTGCCTGAGTCCACTTCAGAGATAGAGGAAAGAAACAGTGTGGACTTTTTAATAAGTTCATCAGTTACATCTAAATTCAGTCTCCAAAACCGTAACAAAAGGCCTGGTGAAAATGAAGATAACTTTCAAAAGAGTTACTACATATAAATTAGGTTCCTTCTCAAGTCCCTTAAAGTTTGTCAATTGGAATTTGAAGGAAAAGAGATACCTTAAGGTTGTTATTAGTTATGAATGTCTTGGCCAGTCAGCTATTGCTGTTGTCTTACAAGCACTGGCTTTGGGAGTATGGCAGAAGTGAAACGAGGTGTAGCCTGACCAGTTTTCTTTCTGATTTTTGGACTGCACAGCACCAACATCTTTAAAGGCAGGGTGCTGAGACCATGGAGGTACTTCTATGCCCATTAGGTATATCATCCTTGACACTTCAGTCTTCAGGAATGACAGCTAGAAGACACTCCTATCAGTTCTAGAGAAACTTCAGAACTTCAAAATAATTTTCAGTTAAAAAAATTACTTACAAGTGTTACAGATCCCACATATTTTCAAGGGAACCTCTGATTTCAAGTCTGCTGCAAGCTATATTTCAAACTTGATAGTCTTTATAGATTGTATATGGGCAAAATGAGATACAACTCCTGAGAAAATGGCACATGGTTTGCCATGCAAGTGCCTGTTACCTCAGCAGAATCCATTTATCTTCCTGTTTAAGTGCAATTCCTTACTACCTACCGGATATTTTGAATATGTAAGTATGTGCCCTGGCTAGAGGGAGAAAAGCAGCTTCTGAAACGGTCTTCACAGGCAAACAGACCTCAGGAATCACGAACTGCCCAGCAAAGAGTAGTGCCCCCAGAAGGTTGGCTCGGCCGTCATTCTGCAACTCGTATATGGGCACCTGAAGAGCAGAGACTGAAATTACACCCTGTCCCTTATGCAAAGCCTACACAGCAGAAAAAAGAGTCCAACTTATGCAATACAAATACATGAATAATTTATGTAACAATGATTTATGACAAATAAAGTTTCCTTCTTCATCCAAACTATTTTAGACTGCACCAGATGGCAGGGTTTCCCTCTGTGCTTAACAGACTTTTATAATTTAAGGGCTTGAAAGCTAATATAGAGATGATTCCAGTGTGATTAAGCAGATTGAAAGACTGATTCAGGAAAAATATAAAAAATAGAAAGCAGGCATAGTTAAAGTGACAGAGCATGGGAGAAGTGATTGTACAGAGAAAAAGCAACAGCTTCAGATCATACAAAACTGCCACTGCAGGCTTCACAACAGCTCTCTTGCACCATCTTTCCTCATAGTATAGAAAAACTGAGCCAGCAGGTTATTACTGACAGAAAAGGACAAGATTAAAACCAGATATTTGGTCTGCTGAGTGATGACTTCTCGTGCCTTTTCAGATTGCCTCTTTACTAACAGAGAGTCAGAGCTCCCTTCAGCAATGGAAGAAAAAAAAAAAATCACATGCTCCATTGCTAGACCATATGTCAGGCAGATCTCCAAGCAATAAAGTCAGAAAGAAAGTAAAACCTTGAATATGATGTATCACAACTAGACTGCCCCTTGTCAAGACAGCAAGTGGGATCCTACTCCTTCCTAGACTTCCGTATTTTGACTTCAAATAGACCACATGTGAAAGGGAAGTTATGAGATGGGGGAGGGAAATTTTACAGTGTGATGTTTCATCTCTCTTTTGTGATTAGAGCTGTATTTTATGCTCAAGCAAGCTATTCTAGTAAGACAACCCCTCCCCCACTCAAACAATATGCAAAGGCCTGATCTCTGGCTAAGAGAATGAAAATTAATAAATGTGTTCTTTAGAGGAAAGGAAGCAGACCATGTTAGAGGCTTTGTGGAACAGAAATGATCAAAAATGCATCTAATGCTTAAAAATTATTAAAAAAATGATAAAAAAATACAAAAATGAGTAACATAAGATGGGATAATAACTGGTAAAGTAAAAAGTAATAAGCTTCAGGGCTTTAAAAGAAAAAAGACAGCTCACAACCAGCAGCCACCTGAGGCTGGAAAGATGCTTCTCTTATAAACCGATTAATACACAATGGCCAATGACAGGCTCTTATATCTTTCTCTGAAGCATCTGGCCCCAGCCATAATGAACTACTGGTCTGATTTGGTACAGAGTTGTAAAGTCATTAATGATAAAATTATGGGGCAGATCCTCAGCTGGTGAGCCTGTCAATTCTCACTAATTTCTATCAGTGATGTGACCATTCACCCTGGCCAGAGGCCTGCCCTGCACTACTAAACTATACAGTGATAATCAGGATACTACCTAGTTTTGCATATAAAAATAAAAAAATGAGGCTTCTGACTTCAACTTCGAATTAAGTCCATTACCTGAGATCCTGTCAGAACAACAGTTTTACCCAGGTTCTCACACATGAAGGATAAGGCTGAAGCTGTATAGGCCATGGTATCAGTGCCGTGAAGGATCACAAAACCGTCGTACTTTTCATAGTGCTCCTGGAGATGGAGATACAGTTTTCACATTGTTAGAGCAATGCACTGGCATCAGCAAGTACATATTGAACTACTTTAACTGATGCAAGCAACAGCATAATTCTTTAAAGGGTACTACACGCATAATTTCTCCTAAAGTTATCCTGTTTTCAGTTTAAATACAATTAAGGGTTAATAGAACACTAAGCACTAGAGCCAGTAATTCTAATTATGGAACAGTCAAAGAGATTCTTCTATGTATACATATTAATGCAGCATTTTTATACCAGAAGACTGCTAATTAAGAAAAGCTTAGCAATGGCTTTAAACAGGAATGTTAACATATGCAAATTAGTCGTATAGTCTGATTTCTTGTTCCCACTTTTACTTTAGGGATTACACCATTTACAGGAACAGATTAGGCAAACCAAGGCCATCATAACATATAGAAAAAACAGTTCATTTAATCCGGGTGGCAGACAGGCAAATTGCCAGTGTAAGAGTGCCCTCTTCTGTCGAAAAGTCCTCTTTTCTGTAGCAGTATGTGACTTCTGCTGCAGAAAGAGGTGAGGAGGCTTCCTGTTGTTCGTTACTGCATGTACACTTGCTGGTTTTTGAGAAGTCCTGTAGACTATCAGGCACTGACAGACGCAAGAAGGAATTTATAATAACTTTCATCTACATACAATTCTACATAGGAGGGGTTTTTTAATGCAAAACCATGAATTGCACAGCTCATCCTGTTGGAATAAAGCCATCTGCTGGCTTTTGGAGGAAAAAGGAATTGGTTCCTCTATTTTAAGAGTGATGCACACAGTAAACACTGTAGTGAGAGACACTAATGTCTGTGATGTAATTTGGTAACACGGGAAAGATTACATAGAAGTCTAATTAGATATATGAAGTGCCAGCATGGGGAAGAAAGGGGGGTTTGCCATAGAATTAAATGAGATTTCTTTTTAATTACACTTCTTATGCTACAGTAGGCACACACGTTTGGCATCTCCTTATAATAAGACCACCTCCATCCTCACCTGCAGATTTCTACTTGTCCTTTTGCTATTTCATCACTGATACTCGTGCCTACATGTTGCTACCTACTGGAAGTTTCAGGGGATTTCTGTTTATTTCTAGTAAGTTAGCCAGCAGAAGAATAGCCAGTATTGCAAGATCTTTCTGTAGGCCAAACTATAGCGTGATGCAAAAAGCATGATGTAGTTATTCACCAATGCAGTAACAAGATAAGTTTTAAGAAGCACTAAGATCACAGAAATAGTCACTTGTCCTCTAACTCAATCAGTATGCTCATGAATATTTTAAGCCTTATGAACCTTATTAGATGCAGAAGAACATAGCTTAGTTTAAGCTTCATAACATAAAAGATCAGGCTGGCAATTAAGAAGAAATCCCACAGAAACATCTTAGAATGCTTCAGTCTGGAAAGTCATCAGCATGTTAGAGCTGTGCAAAGTACATGTCCAGGATGAACACAAAGTGGCAATGTCTGTACATAAGCCAGACGGTTAAAGATTTTTGGTTTTTTCCCTTCTCAACGCTTTTTACTTGGATATTTGTACATAGGGAGAAGCCGCATTCTGTGCATGAGAAAGAAGTACTTTTTTAGCTCAGGAGCTGTGATAAAACTAATGTGCCATTAAGGAAGAAAGGTAAGTTCTCTCCTGTTCAGCATGGCATTGCATTCTTTGTGTTACTCTACTCTTGATCCTGGGCTTTTCCGAGCTCTGCCCCTGCTCCATCCTAGAGGCTCTCCACCTATATACCAGCTCCCTCTCTTCTCTGCCCTGGCAAGATGCATTTCATAGGAGGATCATCATCCCTAGTTTGGTGGTTTCAGGACTGGAGGACCTAAAGGTGAAAGGCTGTTACGTGAATCTTCAGCATTATTCCCTGCATTATTATACTGCTCGCATGCATTGCTACAGCTTGGTCGAAGAAGGAAATTTGCACTATAAAGCCCACTATCGCAGAGCGAGCAGGAGTGGAAGAGCAACATTTTGCTAGGCCCATGGTTATTTATTTCTAACAGCTATGTATGAATTCCTGGTGAGAAGTATTTTAAATGTTTCATATTTCTACTTTCTTAAAAGCACACAGCTAAGTTCAGACATAGGGACCAGAGCAGAGAAATGCTGATTTTTAATCTAGAGAAGGATGTAATGAATTTACCTATATATGCAGAAATATCTAGGGCTTTAAACATTTCCTAGTGTGGGAAAGCTAACCACGATAGCATTTTTTTTTCTACTGGCTGCAAAGCCAAAGCTAGTCAAGTCTGTCTGGGTCCAGAGTATGAAAGGTAAAAAGATATGAAAGTATTTTCTATGCCAACAGCCAACTATAAAGTTACGTGAATACTCGAATGGTGTGTAACTAAGCAACCGTCACTTAAGTCACCTACACCTGAGGATTTTATTCTTGGACAGCAAATTTAAGTCAATGTTTTAGAACACATCAACCTACATACTACATACCTTATTCAATCATAGCTGCAATTTTTCTGTTTATTTTCTTGTACAGAATTATGACATGGCTTATCATTGGAAGAACTATGTAACTTCAGTGAGTTTGCAATATTTTCAAAAGGAAAAAAATTCAGCAAGCCTTGCAAGCACAGTACCTGTTACTTTGCAAGTAACTAAGCAAGGTACATAACATTTACATTTTAAATAAACAAATATATATGTATAGCACTAATGAATTGTTTTATCTTGCTACATATACTAGATATACTGCTGGTTTTGTTTAAGCAACAAATGAATTCTTATCCCACACCACAGTACCTCAAGTTTCTTTGCAATTTTGGCCCAGTCCTCTGGCGTCATGTTGGAAGAATCAAGCAGTGGTGAGAGCTCCAGGATTGTGTAAAAAATTCTTTTGTTTTGCTTAGAGACACTACAAAGAAAGAGAATTGGAAAAAAGAAAAATCTTAGAGCTAGTATCGGCTCATCACTTCTGATTTTTTGTCTAAATCAGTAGTTTTCATCCTCTTCCGCCCCATCCCCTAAGTCTATGGCAAAAAAAAGGTCTTAAATTTGGAACATTTTGTTCCAAGTTTAGAAGTTCATGCCTTGATGTCATTTAAAGCACAAATCCCTAAATTTAATTTAATAATAAATATAATTTGGGAGGGGGAGAGGGGCTGGCAAAACTAAAGACAGAAAGAACCCAGACTTTGTTTAAGTTTGGAGCTGAGTTTCTGACAAAAGTAAATTCCAATGCTTACGGTTTAAAAATGTTTCATAAGCTACTGAGAGGAATCTATAAAGCTCCCAAGGTTTATAGAGGGTCCACAGAAGAGCTGCAGCAACTTTTTGATCCTTTGATAAATATAAATAGACACCCCATAAATAGATACTCTTTCCTGACACAAAGGGTATCTTCTCTTAAGAGGCTTATGACTGGGATTCATTTTTGTGGCCTTTAGAAGATCCACTCTTCTCAGTTTCTCTGACCTCAAATTTCAAAAAAACCTCTCTTGGTTAGTTAAGATCTTCAAGTAAACTGTTGCCTTTGACAGGATCAACAACAGGCCTAATAGGTTGGGACTGGGGTTTTACAAAGTTAGCCTATTAGGCCTGTTGTCACCTTGTTATGAAAATTTGCTATATGGTATTCACTGTCTGTTGTTATGATGTGGAGTTTAAGAATGTGGTAATAGCAAAGATCTTAAAATACTGGCACAGGTTGAAAACAGAGGCCCCAGGACTATAAACAACTCACTGGCGATCAATTATTGCCCACTGAACGAGCACGACCTTGAGAGCTGGGAAAAGACTGCTCTACGTACAATAAAAACAAGACAAAGCAACTATGCAAGAGGAAAAAAACGAAACTGAAACAAAACCAAAACCAAACAGTCACGCAATAGGATAAAGTACCTGTGGGGCTGAGGAACGTAACACCTTCAAACATCACACAGTGTGTAGCCCAGCAGATGGAGAGCAAAGATTACAAAGTGTCTAGAAACTCAAACATCTTATAAAATACGTGATCCCAAAAATTTGGAGGGGACATATCAAAGGTGACAACGGCTATGGAATCACAGTGGGCTTGGCCTAACTCTAAGCACGCTGTCTGCTCTCCTTGCTTCCCAGGATCATGGGTCTCCCTTTCTCCACCTGCTTATCTCAAGAAACCTGACTCTTCAAAGACCTTTGATTTGCAAGCCAAACGGACTGCATGCATATTTAGCAATGCAGTAGCCAAGAAGCAGCTAACAAAGAACTGCTAGCGGGCCAGCTCTGCCTTTCCTACTCGCTCTTCCAAGTAGAGCCATCCGGGAGCATGTTTAACAGGATCATCTTCAGAGCATTCTCAATGCTTTTCCGCTGCCTGAGGATGATGGAAGGTTCCCTGCCAGCTGTAGCTGTGATAGATACTATGACATTTACACTGGAAGAGAGTCAAAGGCTACAGAAAAGACCAGGATACTGCATGGATGCATAAAAGTACCCAAAATAAAGTGCTTAGAGCACAGAAAAGTTGATTACCTTCCCTCAGCATTCGTAATAGTGTTGTTACCACTTGCTGATCTTGTATATATTTATAGTAATATAAAATATGCAAAACCAAGAGTCAACTGTCAATTCATCAGCTAATAAAATCTGCAGATCGACTCCTCTTATGAGGCCTGTAAGACAGTTGTGTACAGCAGAGAGAGCGTTTAAACAACATGTAGTTTTTGTTCATAACCAACTGACATACTGTACCTAAGAAGTTAGACTTCATATGAAAAATTACCTTGTGGGATATCACATGTACACATGCTAAGAGTAACTTTGGGAGTCAGTTGAAAATCTGCGAAAAGAAAGCTCCCCTGAGGATGTGCTGTTTAAATAAAACACGACATACTGACACCAGAGACCAGCTTCATCTACAGCTTTTGATGCCTCTCTCTAAAAAGAGATCATATCGTTCCTCTTACTTCGAGGTTATCACAGATATACAAAGTTCACAAAATACTCCTATTTTCTCCCCTCAGAAACTCACAATATTTCTCAACTGCCTAGTTAAAATATCACTCGGCTAGCACAAAAGAGAAAATGGCAAATTGCCATGACTAACCTCCAGAAAGAGCACTCAGCAGTGCCAGAAAAACAAGACAAGATTGTTTTCTAAACCTCAGTTTTTTATGTGAATGATTGTTTTAAGCTTTTCTGTTCTTCATGGAAAAGATGTGCCAGGAGAAGCATATTTAGGACTCAAAGGAATATATTAATGTAGTTTTGTTATATTTCAAATCCCTTAAATTATTTAAAAATCATTCAGTTACAAGCACAATATCGTAACAGAGCTCCATTTTTCTTAGCATAACCATCGTATTTAACACAAACTGTACGTTCACATCAATACTACTCCACCAGGAAGTCCATTTCTTTTCCCTTTAACCTTTTTCCTGCCATCTGCCTTTTAAGTGGTTACTTTTAAAAGCTTTACACACAGACCTCACTACAGAATAGAAAGAAATTAATAAACCTGACATTTTCTTTGTATGTCCTGTTTTTCTCCTTAAAGATTAAAGAATATCCGTTTATAATCTTCCAGCAAAACAGCTATAGTCCCATTTATTTTTGAACGACTGTGTAAAATCATCCTTTGTGCAAAGTTAACATGTTTACAGGGGTACAGTCATTCATCACAGCTGGGGGATATCTCAAATTAGCATACTGCCCTCTAAATAAAACCTATAAGCTTATTAATCATTGCCCAACAGTTAAGAAGCAATCCAGATTAATTATAAGCCCATCACTTATTATCATAATGTTGCATAAATTTGGGAAAGACAATCAGCTTTTAGGATTTTTTAAAAACAGGCAGCCTGCAGAATTAAAGCACAGGGCCTATTCATGGATGCATTAATTAGATGTTACTTTTTCAGACATATGCTGAAGATAATTCACACAGAGCTGTATATACAGTTTTCTTAGTTTCTATAGAATATTTGTATGTTTGCACAGTAGCAAAATAATATCCAAAACAAGGAAAAAAAAAAAAAAAGACAGGGCTAAACTCCCCAGAATGGTTGCTTGTTGCCTAATTTAAAAGTTGTTTCTCAAGCAGTTGTAAGACACTTCATTGCAAATATATCAAAACAGACATTCTCTATCATGCCAGACATGGTAGGCTTTTTCCTTTTAAGTCAATATAAGCATTTGTGCTAATCTCATAATGGATTCTTCACATTAAATGTTTGGAGATGTAATTATCCCAAAATTAACAAGATCCTTCCTAGCCTTCCCTCTCTCCAAGGAAAATGTACTTACGGGAGCACCAATGTGTTATCTGGAAATTCATGGGAGAAGTTCAGTTTTGTTTCCTGGGCATATGCCTCGTCATGCAGCATTGGCATCGTTTTCAAGCTGCTTACTAATTTATTGGCCTCAGGAGCAAGTCCTATAATAATAATAAAGGAAGTAAATAAATGAGTGGGGATGGAAGGAAGTGAGTAAGGAGGGAAGAAGTCAAGTTACACAGCTGTTTGCCCATCCTTCCAAATTAAATTTCAACAGTCTATTGCCAGTTTAAGAACATGAAAACAGAATGTAACCAATAAATCTCCGTGCAGTTATTCTCTTCTCGACTTGATATAAATCATTCCTTTATTTAAGAGAAATAATATTACAAATCTCCTCCATATCAAATATTTATTTTTTACCTATTTTTAATTGTCACCTGTGTGCAAATACTGATCAGCAGTAGGGGCAGGAAGCCAATTTTTGCAACTGTAGCAAAAAGCTACCATTCTCTTTTGTGTTTGCCATAGCTATTCTCTATCTAGTGGCAGAAGATTTAAAAAAAACTGAGTATTACTTCGTACTATAAATTTGCAATATTTTTACCTATGCCTACAGCATGGCTTTAAACTGAAGGAGGGGAGATTTAGATTAGGAAGAAATTCTTTACTGTGAGGCTGGTGAGGCACTGGAACAGGTTGCCCAGAGAAGCTGTGGATGCCCCCTCCCTGGAAGTGTTCAAGGCCAGGTTGGATGGGGCTTTGGGCAACCTGGTCTAGTGGAGGGTGTCCCTGCCCATGGGAGGGGGCTTGGAACTAGATGATCTTGAAGGTCCCTCCCAACCCAAACCATTCTATGAAACAGCAAGATACTAGCAGGTCTATGCTGGAAAGATCCATGTCTCACTGTCAACAGCAACAGTATTTCCATAGAGAAAAAAAAAAAAAAAAAGAGACAGCTAAAACAAACCCCACAGTAGGTATCAAGCATTGACAGATATAGACAAAGATCTATGTATATGCAAAGATAGAGAAACCTCAGCTTTGAAGAAGTCTTAAATGCTAAGTGCTCTAATCACTCTCTCTTGAATAGCAGGGGTTTTTTCACCAGCAGGTTTGGGACCGAACATCCCAACTGAGAAGAGGTAGAGAAGGTGCATAAGCTGCTGAACAGAAAAAGTCAAAAGCATGGATGCATCTTAACTTTTGTTCACCCTCTCCTTGCCTGTGACGTTGTCTTTCTTTTTGTGGCAGTGGCCCTAAAACAGTTGGGGCTTAAACTAGCCTAAGTACATTTAGTGTGTGCTGGTTCCTTAAGAACTCCCTAATCTCCCTCCTGGCTTGCCTTAAATAAAGTAGCAGGCCCCTTCATAGCCAACTTTCTCACAGGATGGCAACAGCATTTGAGTGGATTTGTTTGGATTCCTGCCGGAATACTTTGTTTTACAAAATATACTTAACATGCTTTGAAGCTTTGGATGTTTCATTTATTCAGCTATAATCCCTGCTTTTCCTATTAAGGATGTTCCTAGCTTTGTCACAAATTACCACTTCTGCTGCACTTAGGCATAGAGTCATTTTGGCTCTGAAATGCAGCCCAGTTTCACATGTTTTCTGATTATTCTTCTGTTTGTCCAACGCTCATCCTCCTCTGAATATTTACAATGGATTACTCTATTTGCCCTAGGAACTGGAGACCTGATACACATTAATATTCTTAAATCCCTTCTCTATAAAGGGCAGTTCCTCATCTCTTCTCTTAATCACAGATCTGTCAGGATTTTTCTGTAATTGCTTGCACTGAATTTAAACCTTTTCTTTTTTTTTTTAAGACATTCTGCAGACGTATCTAAGATGACCCACTTACAACCAATGCACTCCCCCAAATGCATCCATGTTTAGCAGTGTTTTCTGCTTCACATTTTCAAGAAGCAAACATGGGGGGAACTCAAGTGCAACTGTTTTAAGAACACTTCTACTTTATTATGCACAGAAAACATCTTTTGTGAGCCAAGCTTGTTGACCAAGTATTTGAAGCAACTCCACCCCTGCAGAGAAGAGGCAGGCTGTGCAACTTGTCCAAATAGTTCTCATCAACTTCTGGCTGTTCCCTCTTTAGCTGGCCAACCTCAGCATCACAAAGCGGGTGGACAAAGGCAGAACAGCGGACAAGTAACTGTGGCAGAGAACAACTGTGGTTCTGTCTCATCTACAGTCGAGAACTCTGCTTTTCACACTGGTGCTATAGATAACATAATTATAGCAACTTGCCAATCAAGATATCCTACAGCCTGTGCTTGAGCAGAGAACAGGGAGCTGAAAAAAGTCTGATGCAGCTGTGTCAGTGGGGCTCTGCACCCAAGAAACCACAGGGTTGGGGAGAAAGACCATACCGTACATCGGCATGCTGAAGTCATCATCCCAATCCTAACAAACTCCCCGTGCTGAGGAATACAAAGGACTTTGCTAAACCAGTTTTATCTATAGGAATATCAATACAAATGGCACATGCATCTACGGTGCCAGATCCCAAAAGCAATGACTACATTTTGCAAAGGCGGTGAAGCAGAAAGTGTTCTCCAAAATATTCATTTCTGCAGCTGTAGTACTTGGGGTTTTCAGAAGTGAGGTGCATAGGCAGTCTAGTATGTCTAGAAAAGGCATAATTAACTAAGTTACTCAGGCAGACACTATTTCAAGATGACTAATCTTTCTAAGGGGATTTAGCTTAGTTCTACTTGTATTTGTTGGGTGGTTTTTTCTTGATATTTCAGATAAAAGCTAGGAAAGAGATCCAGCCCACAAGCCTGAGGAAAAGATCTTCCTGAAAGCACCAACCAGGAGGAACATGAGCACAAACTTCATGCAAAGATTACTATCAGAGTAACCTCACTAAGGAGTGCAGTAAGATTCTCTTTCTGAAATGAGCTACCGATAAGCCAAAAGAGGCTGTTGTAGGAGGAAATAAGTAGGAGGAAGTAGAAGAAATACATTTTAAAAATGCACTGAAATGGCTTATTTGACAGCAAAAACATGAATACTGAGTGAGCCTGCAACTGAATCTGGTTATCACCCAACTCACACAGAAACAGACTATCCATCCTCTAAAAATGACTCCTGCACAGGTAACCTGTAGGCATGCAGAAAGTCCAACAGGTCCAAGACATGCTGGAATTGCCACACACACACAGGTCAACTGCAGAACCTCTGCAGGAAGTTTACAATCAGATCTCATGATAAACAATCAATCCATACACACATGATGAGCCCAGGTAATGTGATGCTATCAGTCTTGTACATTGGGGGCAGTTCTGCACAGGAACATATCCCTTGCAGAAAACATTAGGCCTATTGAAACTATCAGATTTTAAAAATGAAACAATCTTATCCAGCAACTGGAAAGGCCATGGAAAAGTTCATAAGCCTAGATGGAAATTAGGTAGAAACCTCACTTGATCCCTTCACTTTGAGCAGTTGCTGCTAGGAAAGGTTTCATGCAGCTCAAGGAAGCTACTTCTGTTCACCTTGCTTGAAATAAAACACTCTGCAATTCTAGGTATGGTTGTTAACTGGCACTTTCTATCCATTGATTAATAAAAAGAAATGAGCATCAACTGTTCTTTTTTCTCCTCTGAACCATGCTGCCTTTCCCATGCCCTTTCACCAGCTTCTGTCTGAACACTAAAGACTGCCAAATATTCTGAAAGAGGAATTCTCGTTGCTCTGCTGCTAGATCTGTGTATGAAAAGCAGGTTGAAACCTTCACCAGAGTGTAGCATGTCAGCATCATTGGATCATAACTGTTAGATTGTTTGCACATGCTTTAGTGATTGACACTTGTTAAGCAAGAGGAAAAAAAAGGCCTACAAGATGAAAAGAGGTTATGGAATTTATTTATAAAAGAATGAGATGTGATTTTAATTTATTTGCTTAAAAAAGGTGTTTAGGAAGCTGAGACAATAGAAGTAGGAAATTATTTTAGTATAAAAAACAAGAAGAAAGCCACCACATGTCATTTGAAATATAGACTTTTTTTTACATCTTTGATAGAGTAAATACAAAGATGATAGCCATAAAAACCACAAAGTGAAACAACCCCTTAAAACATCTTCCCAACAACAATAAGGATCAGCCACCCACTGTCTTCTGAGAAGGAGGGAATGTATATTAGAAAAAAACCCCAAACACTAGTGTAGGAAGCTCTGAAGTGAAGCCCCAAATGTTTTAATCCTACAAATAAGTAGCCAAAATAGTATTTCAGGCAGGGGCTTGAAGTTCTGTGATAGGGAACAGAAGTATCAATGCTTCTGAACATAGACAGAGGCTCTGGAAGCCCTGGGATGCTCCACTGCCTCCCAAGCAAAGGAGGAGGGAAACTGAACAGACATTCAAAATTGGACTGCTTCCCTCTCTCCCCCCTGCCCCATACATTACCCTCTTTCCCTTTATACCAACACTAGTAAACACATAGCCCTGCATGGAGTCAGACCTGGCTGAAATTGGTTCTTTTCCCTGGACACACTGGCTGATGCTTCTGGCATCCCTTGAGATCTGTGCCTACTGAGTGAAGGTTTAATGGTGCTTAGATGCCACTCCAACCAGCTTCTGGATTGGAGGCCTGGGGGGTGTTAGGTGAGTTTAGGCACCTACCTGCTGACATTTAGGGACATCTGAAAACACAGAGCATATACCTGTAGGTAACTAAGAAGCTTTCAGGTAAAATGCAGGCAGTATACTGAGACATCTCAGAGTTTAATTTTGGATTTAAACATTTTTCAGCTGGTGGAAGGGGCTTTGGCATCTAGCCCTTTCATCAACATAAGTCTGACCCTCCCTTGCTAAGGTAAAGCAGAACTCTTCAGTGATTCCTTGCAGGAAGTCAAGAGCTAGTAGGAGAACAGCAGAAGCCTGCTCAGAGGCAGGTGAGCACAGATGCTGCATCTGATCTCACTCATTATGACACTTGGTAGCATGTATGCTGCCACACTTGCATCAGCTGCATCTGTCAGGTCACCACTTGAAAATCCTTGACGTGGCCACCACCACCTCCAACCCCCCACA